TTGTCTGACCACCACATTTTATACCTGAAACGAACATAAAATAATACTGAATGTCAACTGCCACTGAAAATGGTTAGGAACTACTTCCAAGGCCATTGTTGCTAAAAGTTCAGCCACCTTTTCCTTGGTCCCAAGCTAGAAGGGTGTGGAATGAACTGGTTCAGTCCTAACTATTTCAACGGTCAGGATAGAGACAAAGATGACCACCCACATCTTGAAAGAATTTTTATAAAATGTTCCTAACTTCTTTCGTTTCCAGGACGAAATTCAGGCCCTCGGTCTTGCACAAGAGAGCCCACCAGCTTTGTTGTCAGCTTTGGCAACACCATGTCCCTGGTGTGACCTGCTGTGCGGCTCCAGCAGTGAGCAGAGTCTGTGGAGAGCGAAAGTAAACATCCCTAAGGGCCTGTGGAATTTGACGGCCTGTGCACGTGGGGCCGACAGCGGGCTGTGTGCCAGGCTCTGCAGGCGAGCCCTCCAGCAGGCCACACTCGTTTTCAGCCACCCTGCAAACAGGAGGAGAGAGGGCCAACCTTGGCAGTGAAGCTCTGTTCCCAGGTTGGCCTGGCCTGGGTCAGGGTCTGGCCAGGTATACATGTACTTAGTGAGATGCCTTCCCTTAGATGCTCAGGTGCTGGGAAGGCTGGCTAACCTGGTTTGACAGTGAATAAAAGGAACAAGGAAAGGCCAGGGGGAATTTCTTCCCTCCATTCCTCCTCAAGCTCCCTGTTCCCCTGCCCTGTGTGATTTGGGAAATTGTCCAGCACTCGAGAATGGGAGGTTTCATTCACTAAATATTTACGGGGTGCCTGTTCTTTCCCATGATCTGTCACAGGCACTGGAGACAGAGTGCCAATTAGGATCATCATGGTGCCCTCTCATAAGGGACTCCCCCTCTTCTGCCTCCACTTTCTCCCAGACTACATTCTGCACAGCACTCCGTGGTGTGAGGGGTTAACTGGAACCACCGGACAGAAATATTGGACTTGTTATATCCTCCCGTCACAACAGCATGGCGGGTTACACAGTGAGGAAAATGTTGTGGCATAGACAGGCGGCACTGCTCTTCAAAAAAAGGCTCTCTCTTGAAGAATAAAAAGACTCTGTGAAATGCATCTCAGGCCCCCTATGTCTCTTCTGCAGCCCAGAAACCTCAACTATAACACAGTTGGACCTAAGAGCTCCATATTCTATGAAAATGCAAAATTAGAGTTGTGCAAAGCCGCTGAGTGAGACACAAACATTCATCACCCCCCACTTTGTGAGCACCAGCTGTAGAGCAGACATTGTGCTAGGCACTGACTACATTCTGTATTTTTTTTTTTCCCCAAGAGGACTTTAGCTCAGGTCTACCGCTTCTTTCCCATGTGCTTCCAACTCAGAGAGAAAAGTACTCTATCACTGCCGAGAACGGTAGCAGGTGGTAAGCTCCTGGCTCTGCATTGTACTGTCAACAGACGATTAGACTCAGACGCACGCATTGTTCTGACGTTGCCTAGATCCGTGGCTCTGTGGACAAGGGGCCTACCGGTGGGAAAGAAGCTTGCTTTCTACTCCCTCTGCCTCTTCTGTGAATCATGGCTCACACCTTTTCTCTCTTTCTGTAGACCTAATATATAAATCACTCTGCCGCTTAGTCCTGGCCTTATGCAAAGTGTTTGTGTCCCCAGAGTCTCCTACACACTGTAGACACTTGGCAGCTTCGTTAGCAAAGGTCAATGTTTCATTTCAGTTTAGTGCCCAAAGATCCCTGACAGACATCCAAAAATTCATTGGAAGTCAGTAATTGTTGACTCCCCCGTTACCAGGATCTGTCAGAGGACTAAGCAGAAAGAAGCAGTGTTTTTAAGAAAGTGAAGCACTCATCTCATCTTCCTTTATTTGAGAAATATATATATACACACACCAGAATGAGAAGCAGACTTCAATTATATTTTAATGGTTGGATGTGGAAATCCAGTGAACTGGAGGCTGATTAGTAAAATGAAGAATTGCATGATGGTAGCATGCTTGCTTTACTTAGTTTTAGGTATCCTATCAACTCAATAAAAGGCTTTTGCGTATTTGTGTAACATCAGGCGGGTTAACTATTCACAGGGAAGCTCAGGCTGTCCCTCTAGGGGGACTGCAGGCTGCTGTCCCACCCCTGCCTTTCTTCTGACATAAAGCTGCTGAAGGACCTGCCTTGAAAGAGACTCAGAGGAGTTGTTTTAACTCCTGTGCTAATCTTGCGAGGGTCCCCCATCACAGGAATAGGTGCGTGAGCTCCGGCAGTGCTTGGATGGCTTGTTGATGGGCCCAATAGCCATTATGGAATCTGGAGGGCAGATGGGCCAGGGCACTGTCCAAGGCCAGCCAGAGCTGCTCGCCTCCGTCCGGATTCAGACGCAGCGATGCCAGGCAGGTCCCTTCACTTCTCTGAGCTTCAGCTTCGTCATCGTGAAAGGGGGAAAGCAGTGCCCGTCTCTGCGACCTGTGAGGCTCCACGGCATCCACTCATGAGGAAGTATGAATAATGCTATTTCGTACAGATGCTTTCAGAGAAGTCGTCTCTCCCCACCCTGGAATTCTGGGAAGACGTTCCTTGTTCTGTGGCACAACTCAGGTTGACTGTAACTCACAACAGACCTTGGTTCCTTATGCTGTCACCACAGCCAACCAATGCTTGGGGGTGTTTTACATTTTTCATTTGGACTTACTCCATGGCATTTTTTTTTTTTTTTTTGAGAGTCCTCACAAATTGGTTCTTAACTTACAAAATCTGGGAACGCCCAAGAGAGGCCACTCAACTAAAACAAATGAAAATGGAATCTGGAGATGGCCGAGGCAAAGTAAAAATTAATGATGCTTAATATTTTTGTAAAGAAACAGAACATTTTACTTTGCCGGTTGTTTGTTTGTTTGTTTGTTTGTTTTTGTTTTTTACCCACAGTGCGCCCTCTATGGGTTAATTATCTACCTTTCATTGTGCAGTCTTAATAAATGATGTGGTTATTTTTAGCCCTTAAGAAGCTGTAGAAAGACGTGTGTGCTTAGATTTACACTGCAGGAATAGAACTGAAATGTCTGTTTAAGAAAGTTATGTGTTGCCGAAACCGGTTTGGCTCAGTGGTAGAGCGTCTGTCTGCGGATTGAAGGGTCCCGGGTTCGATTCCGGTCAAGGGCAAGTACAGTACCTTGGTTGCGGGCACGTTCCCAGTGGGGGGTGTGCAAGAGGCAGCTGATCGATGATTCTCTCTCATCGATGTTTCTGACTCTATTCCTCTCTCTTCCTCTCTGTGAAAAATCAATAAAATATATTAAAAAAAGAAAGTTATGTGTAAAATGGGGTTGAATATAGTTTTGAGAGTGAATCATAATTATACCAACCTAGTTATATTTCTTTCTTTCTTTTATTTTTTTTTTTGCATATTCAGCCTATTCTTTGTGACAGTTACAACTTTTACCTGGTTTTGCATAGCTTCTCTTACAAGATACACACAATGTTAGAGACTTCTGTTTTGCTCTACCATTGCATCATAAATATTTTTCCATATTATAATATTATCTTGTGTATAATTTTTAAACAGTTGAATACTATTCCATTTATTTAATGCACCATAACTCTCTAAACACTTCCCAGTTGTCGAGCACTTAGGTTGTTTCTATTTTATATATTATTCATAATACAACTTTTTTTTTTTTTTTTTTTTTTGGTCTGGTCTATAGCATTGAGCTGCTCTTAAATTATTTCCTTAGGATGACTTCTTAGAAATGAGATTATTGGTCAAAGAATATAAATAACTTTCTAATTCTATCTCATCGCACTGTTCCAAGGGCCGTTGCACAGTGCTGCCTGTTTCAGCAGTCTTCATAGTACTGGAAGCACTGAGCCAGGCTGGTCTCATACTGGGCATTTATGAGCAGATGGATTTAGAATTTTAAGTTGGAAAATAGTTTAACCTTGGGGGTTGTTTTAATGGAAAAACTCATGAAAAGATTAGGACTATACCAAGACAGACATTTCTAAGCTTCGCCTTTTTTGCTTGTATAATCAATTCTGTCATTTTGTGACACTTGACAACTAATTGTGTCTAATCGGGTTATTCCTTTGTGTGCGGGTGTAAGTAGAAGGTTGAATGCTATTCCTGTTGAATTGTGAGAGAGAGTGCTAGGTCTAAAGCATACCATAAACACAAAGAGATAGGAACAGTTCAGCCATTGTGGTTCAGCGGATTGAGCACTGTCCCACGCTCCAAGAGATCACTGACTCCTTTCCTAATTAGAGTACATAATCCGGGTTGTGGGCTCGATCCCCAGCAGAGGGCGTGCAGGAGGCAGCCAATCAATGTTTCTCTCTCGATGTATCTCTTTCCCTCTCTCTTCCTCTCTTTCTAAAACTATAATATAAATAAAAACATTTAATTAAAAAAAGGGATAAGAAATACAGAGACTAAAATACAACTGATGCTTATTTCTTTCTTCTAACAGTGAAAGGTATGGGAAACCCAGGGCTGGAGAGGCAGCCTTCTCCAGTCTTCTGGGGACCCAGGCTCCTTCTATCCTGAGGTTCTGCCAGGCCCAGGGCGATGTCCTGGTCTGTGTGTTTGAAATTCCCTTGTCTCCATGTCATGTTCCAGTCTGTGGGGAAGGGGGTTGTGGAGGTCCTGGGAAAGCGCCTTTGTCTTTGATCTGATGAGCCGGAAGTGGCACAGATTACTTTTTCTTGCATCCCTTTCCTCAAGACTTAAACAACATTGTCACTCCTACCTTCAGGGAAGGCTAGGGAAAATGGCATCAAACTGGGTGTATGTGGTTTGGCTAAAATTCTAGAGGATCTACGGTGAAAGAGAAGGTGGATGGGCTTCAAGGATAACTAATGCTCTTTGCCCCAGTCCAGTATTCCTAGTTGCAAATAATCGTATGTGACAGGAAAGTATTAATCATGTTTACCCACTGAAAAAAAAATCAACCATTGGAGATGTCAGTAAATTATAAGTATGTCCTGATTTTGGTTTTAGATGGCCCACAGTAACCGATGTGCCAGGTAGCATTCTATGCCAATCCTGAATGCCAGCAGGAAGTCATAGGACAATAAACTCTTCCAAGATCATAACTGGGCTGTTGGAATAACTTGGAAAAGAAGAAAAAAGAATCGAAACCATGACAAAAGTAACTAGAGCCCGGCCCTCCTCCCCCCCGGATGGAGGCTGGGGCTGGATGATTGTGGCTGGCTGTTTCCTCGTCACCATCTGTACCCGGGCAGTCACCAGGTAAGTGGCATTTTCTTCTTGTCTTTTTAAGATGATCTGGCTTTTGTTGTTGTTGTTGTTCTAAGTCTGCTTCATTCTATTTCTGAACCTACCATTGTGAAAATGTGTGAGTGTGTGTGTGTGTGTGTGTGTTTGTGTGTGTGTATTTTCATTGCTCAGACATCTTTTTCTTTGTGAGGAATGTGATTTTCTGACACTTAAAAAAAAATTCTGCATTGTGGTCTCTTCTATAATATCTGACACATAAACCTGAAGTGTTAGGACATTTTTTAACAAAATATTGTGGCTATTTCAGCCATCTGTCTTCATACACAGCTCATCCCAGAAAGGAAAAACATATAAGGCTAAAATAGTCCTTTGAAAACCTCTTGACTAACTAGATACTGAGTCCTTAGAAGCTTAAACCTTCATTTGAATTCTTTTGCTTCATATTGCATTTGGCTGTGGTGCTTGGTGGTGGAGGCTGAGGTCTAGGTTGAAGACAAGAGCAGCGGCATAAGTCCATGGATTCTCTCATTCTCATTTACTCATGCCTCCTTCTTTTCCTTTTTCACATGTTTATATTCTGAGAAAGTTCCTTTGTTGGTTTTTAAATTTTATTTGTAATTATAGCTTACATTCAATATTATGTTGTATTAGTTTGAGGCGGACAGCATAAAAAATAGGGACTGCTTCACGAATTTGCGTGTCATCCTTGCACAGGGGCCATGCTAATCTCCTCTGTATCGTTCCAATCTTATTGTAGTATTTGTGCCACTAAAGTGAGCACCTCTCTCCTTTTCTTTTATCCCAGCACATAGTGTTGAAAGGGCTTAAGTTAAATGTCTACACATTGAGACTCATTGGAACAAATACATACTTGAAATCTGCAGATGCCAGCTCTTTACAGGTGCTCCAATTCAAATCACACTCTGTTCTCCTCTGGCAGCTCACACTTGGCAGCAAAAGAAAGCAGTTTGCACTAATAACTTTATTTGATGTCATCCTATATAATAAAAGTATAATATGCAAATCGACCGAATGGTGGGATGACCAATCGCCATGACGTGATCTGACTACAAGAGGAGAGACGCTCAACGCAGGAGCTGCCCCCTGGTGGTCAGTGCACTCCCACAGGTGGAGTGCCGCTCAGCCAGAAGCCAGGCTGGTGGTGGTAGTCTCTCCCGCTTCTGCTGCAGGCAGATAGTAAGGAGTGAGGGGTCCTGGACTGCAAGAAGGATGACTCACTGTAAGAGGGATGTCTAAGCCAGCAGGCAGACATCCCCCAAGGGGTTCCAGACTGCGAGAGGGAGCAGGCTGGGCTGAGAGACCTGCCAACCAGTGCACAAATCTCGTGCACTGGGCTTCTAGTCATTAATACAAGCATTGATGTTACCTTCATAACAAACACATAATGCAGGAAAGAAGAAGGATGTTGGTTTTTGACACAATAAAGGCTGATTAATTATGTGTCTCAACGCACTGTAGATTTGCTTAAAATTATACAGTTGGTGTTGAGTTTGATATTGCTTGTATTATGGATCTTGTGTTTTGGGTGTGAGGAAGTCATAGATTTAAAAGGAATCTCTTTCATTTTGGCTCTTACGTGTGGAAGCTCCCATCATTCTATGATGGGAAAGTTCTGGAAGTGAGCTCAGTGCTTCATAAGAAGGCTGCTGAAAACCAGGAGAGAGGATTGTGGCTGGCAGCCAAGGCCTGCTATCCGAGGTTCCTGAGAGAAGCTGAGGAGAGGATACCTGAGCAGAATAAGCTCAGAGGAAGAAAAGTGTGAAGACGCAGCCAAATCAGAATCTAAATGTCATGAACCAGGAAGCAGCCAAGAGCACTGGACAAGGAAAGTAGCCTGCAGGGTGATTTGTCAGTTCAGAGAATCAGTGCCTGCTGGGCTATTAAATTTTTCTTTTCCTCCCAGTTTTACTGAGAAATAATTGATGTATGTTACTGTATAAGTTTAAGGCATACAGCATGATGGTTTTATTTCCATATATTGTGAAATGATGACAACAGTTTCAGCTACTACCACTTCTCATAGAAATACAATTTAAAAAAGGAAAAAGAGGAAAATTAGATTTTCTCCTTGTGATGAGAATTCTTTGGATTTACTTTTTAACTACTTTTCTATATCATACAGCAGTGTTAGCTATAGTCATCATGTTGTACATTGCATCCCTAGTACTTAATTACTGTTGTACCTTTTAACCACCATCCTCCACCTACCCCTTCTCCCACTTTCCACCTCTGGTAACTACAAGGCTAATCCCTTTTTCTATTAGCTTGTTTTTTATTATTTAAAGTATTAAATATAATAGTACATATATCTCCTTTTTCCCCCCTCTGCTACCCCCTGTCAGATGCCCTCATCTCACCCTCCCCAATGTCTTTTGTCCATTGGTTGTGCTTATATGCATGCATACAAGTCCTTCGGTTAATCTCCCTCCTCATCCCAACACTCCCCAGCCTTCCTGCTGTAATTTGACAGTCTGTTAAATGCTTTACTGCATCTGTATCTATATTAACTTGTTTTTGTTTATTTATTTTCAAGATTCCACATATAAGTGAGATCATACAATATATGTCTTTCTCTTTCTGACTTGATTCACTTAGTATATGCCTTTAAGGTCCATCCATGTTGTCAGAAATGACAGGATTTCTTAGTTCTTTTATCATATATATATATCTGTTGATGGACACTTAGGTTGGTTGCATGTCTTGGCTATTGTAAAAATGCTGCTATGAATATGGGGTTGCAGATAACTCTTCAAGCCAGTGTTTTCATTTCCTTTGGATATATTCCCAGCAGGGGAATAGCTGGATCACATGGTAGTTCTGTTTTTAATATTGTGAGGATCCTCCATACTATTTTCCATAGCAGCTGTATCAGTTTATAATTCCACCAACAGTGCACAAGGGTTCCCTTTTCTCCAGAATTTTTTTTTTTTTATCTCTTGTATTTTGATGATGGCCATTTTAACTGTGTGAGTGATATCTCATTGTGGTTTAAATTTGTATTTCCCTAATGACCAGTGATGTTGAACATGTTTTCATGTATCTGTTCACCTTTTACATATCTTCTTTGGTTAAATATCTACTTAGGTCCTTTGCCCATTTTGAAATGGGGTTATTTGTTTTTTTACTATTGAGTTTTTAATCCTTAATAGTATTTTATTATTATTATCAGTAGCCCTGTGCATGAATCCGTGCGCCAGTAGCTCGCCAGTAGCTTGCTGCCTCCCTCTAGTAGCTCTCCACGGCTGCCATGTCTTCCTATAGCTCTCCCTGCTACTCCCCTACCCCCTCTTATAGCTTGTTGCCCTGCCCCCACCACGCTCCCCCCGCAATAGCTCTCTGCCGCCCACTTGTAACTCACTGCCCCACCCCCTGTTTATCCATGATCCAGTCATTATGCGGTTGGTCGTTACACTTCATGGCATAACGACCATTTGCATATTACATCTTTATTATATAAGATAATTGTTATTATTTTTAGAGAGAGTGAGAGAGTGAAAGGGAGGGGGAGAGCAAGAGAGGGAGAAACATTGATGTAAGAGAGACACTTGGGTTGGTTGCTTCCTGCACGCACCCCTGACTAGTCTACAACTGAGGTACATGCCCTTGATTGGAATTGAACCGGAAACCATTCAATCTGCAGCTGACACTCTAACTACTGCGACAAACCAGCTAGGGCAATATTTCATTTTTTGGTATTTCAAATTTTATTTAGCTAGTCCCTTATTGAAGGACAAAGAGGTTGGTTATAATATTTAACTATTATAAAGAGTTCTCCAGAATGTTTTTATTTGTATTTAATATCATCATCATCATCATCTGTTTATTACCTTTGGTTAAAATCTAGACATGAGCCCTGGCTGAGTGATTCAGTTGGCTGGAGCATTGTTCTTTAACAGAAAGGTTACTAGTTTGAGTCCCAATCAGGGCATATACCCAGATTGTGAGTTTGATCCCCAGTATTGAGAGCAACCAATTCATGTTTCTTTCTCTCCCTCTAAAATCAATAAAAGCGTATTTACAAGTGAGGCTAAAAATATCCCCCAAAACCTAGAAATGAAATTGCTGGGTGATGTATAACTCTTTATTGTTAAACTAAAGGCCCGATGCATGAAATTTGTGCAAGGACCTTGGCCCTCGCCGCCACTGTGGCCACCTCTACTTCAGGCTCTGCCTGCTGTGGCTTTGTCTGGTCTAATTAGCATATTACACTTTTATTATTATAGATTTTAACTTATATAACAACCTCTTACAGATGTAAATTAAATATTAAGATGAATAAAAGTACATGTTTTTGACCTGCCATCTTTTTCTTAAGATCTTCTCTACTGCAGTGATCTTCATATCTACGTGGCTTCAGCAGCCCCTCCAGTGAATGAGCACTTGTTCTTATCCTTTAGAATGGCCCAGTGGTCAGCTTCTGATTTCCTACTTATTATGGTCTAGCACAGTACCACTGAAAACCAAATTAAACCTGTGGAACAGTTGATGGAACCAACACTTTAAGTTCTGATTCAAATTTATGTCGTCGTCGTCTTCTTCTTCTTCTTCTTCTTCTCTTCTTCTTCTTCTTCTTCTTCTTCTTCTTCTTCTTCTTCTTCTTCCTCTTCTTCTTCTGTATAACATGCTTGCACTGTATTTTTCAGATGTATTTCAATTTTTTTTGTGGAGTTCCAAACATACTTCACTCAGGATTATGCACAAACAGCTTGGATCCATTCCATTGTAGACTGTATGACCATGCTCTGTGGTAAGTATCACTTACCAGGGATAGATAGCTACTAGCTACTGTCAAATTGTACATGGCAATGACCTTCTTTTGCCTTTGATTACCAATTTTTCTTAGTAGAAAGACTATGGTAAAAAAAAAAAAATGGCTAAGATGAAAAGAAAAAGTTGATCCTACCTTCAGCCAAACCCAACCAGACGTGCTCTTGGAATTAATGGTCTTGGCTGGTGGCAGATGGAACAGGTAGTTAATAACTTAAGAGGACACATACCATTTGGTTCTTCTATATGAAGAAGACTTGTGCATCATAGGACTTATCCTGATTTTGGAAGTAGCTAACCATGCAGTGTATGCGTGATCTCTTCATTCTCCAGTCATGTAAATCCTTGGATAGTGCCTGAGCCATTTCTATAGAATCCCCTTAAATGAGTACAAACAATATGTACATTGTTTTTCAAGTCTTGTTTTCATTCCATTTTCTTCTCAGAGATTTCAAACTTTGTCTCTTAGATTTCATCACTTTTCATGCATAAATCTTCATTCTTAAGAGGAAGGAATAGGGAAGGATAGGATGGCGCTAACCTTGAGATAAATACATTCATCACAGCTGTCATTTCATTCAATGTATAGGGTAAATAGAGTGCTCTCAAAATAAATGGAAAGCTAACTTTGAGGTGTTTTTTTTATTTTTATTTATTTATTTTTTAATATATTTTTTATTAAATTATCATCTGTGTACATATTTTAACATTGACACCCCCCCCCCCCAATACAAAACTCTGGCGAGGGAGGGTATGTTTTTTGTTTTTTTTAAATTCAAACCAAAGTTGTTCAATTAGTGGCTTAGAGAGTTTCTGAGATTGAGTCAAATTGATATGACCTATTTTCAGGCTAGACTAATTTAATCCTTTTATTGAGATGAATCCTGAGTATTTTAGAAAACTGCTCTTTCCAGGCCATGTCTTTGTGGTGAAGGGAAATATTATATTATTTAGTAACTTATAAATGTCATCTGATTCCATTCTAGGTACTAGTTCATATTTATTTTTCTAATGTACGTACTCAGGAGTCAGTTGAATTATTCTGACATGCATTTGCTTGGTTGGAAGGAATTTGAGAGCAAACATGAAAGGCAGGTTTCAGGAGAAAGCTAAATTGACTCTTCCTACCGATAACACTGGAAGGTCTTAAGGGATAAAAAGATATAATATTTCTGGGTTTTCTATCTTGTGTGTATATTTTATTTATTTCTTTATTTACCGGTGAGACGATCACTAGGTCTTCAGGGTCACATTAGTCACAGCGTTTGTATAAGCAAGTCAAGAGAGCAATGTTTGTCTCTCTCAAAGGATACAGGTGACTCATTTCCCTCAGTGTTATCTTTTGGAGACTATTCATAATCCCCAAAAGAGAAATAAATTAACTTCAGTGACCAATATTTTCACAATGACCATGTGAGACATTGAGCCAAAGTAGGGTCATGTTAGCATGACCTTAAATATGCAGTATATTGGAATTCCACACAAGGACTCAATGCCTGTTGTACCCAATTGCTTACCTGGCAACATTAGTTGAATACAGAGTATGAACAAGAGGCTACAGAATCACATCTAAGACACTCATTGGGGACATAACTGCCCTATAATAAGCAGAGAAGTTAACATTTTTACATTGAATTTGGTTAAAATGTCACTTTTCCAATAACCATAGCAGCAGCTGTCTGGAAAATTAGACATACTTTTAGGAGATTCGCTCATTCCTGTTTTCCAGAGGTTCTATATACAGCCAGCCACTGTTTTAACTGGATAGATGATATCAGTCAGGCTGATGACTGATTCTATCATGTGCATTTGAGTCAGGCCTAAATTCCAACCTGATCAATACAAAAATTATACCCCACTGATACTCTTTTGATGTTGTTACTAGAAGTACTGGTGTCAGCATGAATTGTTCCTTAGAAAGAAATTCACATGCATTCCTTACCCATAATCCTCCCTGCCATCAGGAGCCAGAGGAAAAGTGATATAATCCTGAATTTGGTATCAGGAGCTCTCAGCTATACTTCATGGTGATCATGTCATATTTCCTTGGGCTGCAATTTCTCATCGGCCTCTCCCAGCTTTAATTAACATTTTATAAACCTAGAAATTGGCACAATGTTGATGCCTTGTTAAACCACAAATAGAGTGAGGTCAACCAAAATGTCACCATGGGTGTGAGCATTTTCTTAGATTTTTCTGAGTGTCAGTTTCTCATCCATACGATTTTTTAAAGCCTGAATACAGTGCCAGATTGTGACATTTGTCTATCATCTCTCTCCCTGGCTTTTACCTGCGTGACTGTGGGCAAGTCAGGTTCTCTCTCCTCAGTTCCAATCTGTAGAATGAGTATGCAAGGTTGAGGGGGGTGTGGGAGGAAGGCTTGATGCTTTAAAGGTCAGTTGTTCTCTACTCTGCTAATGTAACACCCCAGCCTTTTCACTGTGCCCTCAAGGCCTTTCTGCTGACCGTATTTATTTTTGTTTTTGAAGCTCCGCTTGGGAGTGTTGTCAGTAACCATTTATCCTGTCAAGTGGGAATCATGCTGGGTGGCTTGCTTGCATCTACTGGTCTCATCCTGAGCTCCTTTGCCACCAGTCTGAAGCATCTCTACCTCACTCTGGGAGTTCTTACAGGTAAGGACAGCTGTACCACTTGTCTCACCCCACCCCATTCAGGGCTTGTCAACCACATCCACAGAGCAATGATTAGTAAATTATTCACTTTGTTAGTTGCATAATTTAGCTGACCTAGCCTATGTCTTTTCTACCTGGAAGTTAAACAAAAGAGCTGGAGGTGCAATTTATTGTACGACTGTAATGAAAATGTACCACCACTTTAATTTAGACACATGATAAAAGTAGCTGCAGGCTTTCCCTTTGGCAGAGGTGTATGGCTGGGATTCTGTTCTAAGTAGCCATGAGCTATTAGCCAGGGCAACATACATTTCCAGCAGTGATCATTCTCCAAACATCTTAGACAACACTATCTGCAGTTGATTCGAGACACCCCTGCTTTAAAGTGAATATGATTGTCCAATAAGTGAGAGTTTCCAATTTAAAAAATTAAATTAAAAATTCTCATACTTCACTATTTTCTCTTCACATTTTGGAAGTACACTTTAGGGAATCAAAATGAAACTCATAGAGAAGCAACATATGTATCCCATAAGGAGACTGAGTAGGGTCAAGGTGGGGTTGGTTGGTAGGACTGGGTAGCAGTTTGCCTCATCACTCAGAGGACTGTGGGAAGTAGCACTGACTCATGTCCAGGCACTGCAATACAGGTGGTAGCATGATCAGGGAAATGAATGATGTAACTCCTAGAGAGGCTATAAATCTAGCTTTGTGGGCTCAAAAAGGGATCTGTCCTATGTAACTCAAAGGGCCTGGCTGTTAGGGTGTCTGTCATTCCAGTTTCCCAGGAACTGTCCTGGTCCTAGCACTGAGTCTCACATCTGGACACCCCTCAGGGCTAGTTGGGATCACTGGTCACCCAGCACTGCAGATAGGAGCAGGAGCAGAAGGGACTTCTCCTTTTCCTTCTTTGACATTAGATGCCAAGAATTCCAGGTTTAAAACCTTTCGGATTTTCTCGATTTGAAAGGAATAGACGCTGAAAATCTTTAAAAGGCTTTCTGCTGATTTCAAGGGATATTTTCAGGTTACTGTGGGTCCATGTGATGTTCATGTAGAATATTGGCACGATGTTTTTCCAATTAAGTGAAATTACCCTGGAACTTCTGTGGGGACATAAGTACTACTTACCCCCAAATTCCAGAGTAGCCCAGACTCTCAGACTTGTGTGTGCATATGCAGTGAATATTTGAGGCAGTTTTCTGGGTAATTTAAATGAAAAGGAGGTGTTGAGGAGAATAAGTTTCTTAGGTCAGCATTATCCTGATTTTGTTAGTTAATTGAAATTTAGTTATATATATATATATATATATTTTATTGGTTTCAGAGAGGAAGGAGAGGGAGAGAGAGGGAAACATGAATGATAAGAGAGAATCATTGATCGGCTGCCTCCTGCATGCCCCACACTGGGGAATGAGCTGGCAACCTGGGCATGTGCCCTCACCGGGAATCGAACCATGACCTGGTTCATAGGTTGACATTCAACCACTGAGCCATGCCAGCCGGGCGAAATTCAATTTATATAATAGTTTTTTAAGTTCTTCATTTTTGTTATTGTTTTGTTTGTTTTTGTTAATCCTCACCTGAGAATATTTTTTTCATTGATCTTTTAAAGAGAGTGGAAGGAAGAGAGAGGAAAAGACAGAGAGAAACATCGATGTGCGAGAAACACATTGATTGGTTGCCTCCTGCACACTCCCTGACCAGGGCCTGGGCTGGGGAGAAGCCTGCAACCAACGTTTGTGTTCTTGAATAGAATCGAACCCAGAACCCTTTGGTCTGCAGGCCAATGCTCTATCCACTGAGCCAAACCAACGAGGGCTCATTTCATTTTTTTTTAATGAATTATTTTTTAAAAATATATTTTATTGATTTTTCACAGAGAGAAAGGGAGAGGGACAGAGAGCCAGAATCATCGATGAGAGAGAAACATCGATCAGCTGCCTCCTGCACACCCCACACTGGGGATGTGCCCACAACAAAGGCTTATGCCCTTGACTGGAATCAAACCTGGACCTTTCAGTCTGTAGGCCGATGCTCTATCCACTGAGCCAAACCAGTTTAGGCTCATTTCATTTTTTAAAGAAGCCACATTTTTTTAAGGTTTTTCTTCCCCAAAAGAAAGTCACTTATATACTAAACTTTCCAAATTGTGGATGACTGGTGAAGGGAGAGAGACTCCTTTTTAGCTTAGTTTTAAAGGGGTAACAGAAGGTCAGATTCTCTTCAGTGTAAATAACTTCATTCTGAGATATTTTCTTTCATGGGCTATTCTTGGTGCACTCACAGAGCTCTCTCTATCCCCAGGTCTTGGATTTGCACTCAGTTACTCTCCAGCTATTGCCATGGTTGGCAAGTATTTCCACAGACGGAAAGCCCTTGCTTATGGGATCGCCATGTCGGGAAGCGGCATTGGAACCTTCATCCTGGCTCCTGTGGTCCAGATCCTTATTGAGCAGTTTTCCTGGCGGGGAGCACTGCTCATTCTTGGGGGCTTCGTTTTGAATCTTTGTGTTTGCGGTGCCTTGATGCGGCCAATTACTCTTAAAGAGTACCAGACAAGTCAAGAGCCAAACCATGTCTGCAGAACTCGAAAACAAGACTTTAAGCGGGCGTCGCCTTGTTCAACTTGGACAAAAAAATGGGTGCAGACCTGCCTCTGTTGCTCTTTGCAGCAGGAGTACAGTTTCTTACTGATGCCAGACTTCGTCGTATTAGCTGTCTCTGTTCTGTTCATGGCTTACGGCTGCAGCCCTCTCTTTGTGTACTTGGTGCCTTATGCTTTGAGTGTTGGAGTGAGTCACCAGCAAGCTGCTTTCCTTATGTCCATACTTGGGGTGATTGACATCGTTGGCAATGTCACATTCGGATGGGTAACCGACAGAAGGTAAAATTCACGAAAGCACAATTGGTTCCCCATCAGGGGACTCCAAGTTGTGATTTTTCCCTCATCGCCTTTCCCTGTAGGATATCTAATGTTAACAAGTTTTTGATGTCTGGAGGCAATATCTGAAGGGTCTCCTAGTCAAAGGTTGGCAAAACGTTTTCTGTGAAGGGACAGATAATAGACATGTTTGGCTTTGTGGGTCCGAATGATCTCAACTACCCAGCTCTGCTGTTGTAGCCCCATAGACAATACATGAACAAACGGAAGTGGCTATGCTGCAATAAGTCTTCATTTATGGACACTGCATTTTGAATTTTTTATATAACTTTAATATGTCACAAATTATTGTTTAGATTTTTTCCCCTCCAACTATTGGAAAGTGGGAAAACCATTCTTTGTTCATGGATAGTGCAAAAGCAGGTGGTGAGCTGGATGTGGCCATAGTTTGCCACCCCTGTTCTAGATGGTTTAGGATGGTGGGTATTTCTAAATTGCTGAACACTAGGGCAACTGTAAGTTCTGGTGATAGATTTAATTCCATCCTAAGTCAAGCCAGTCCACAGGTAAGACAACGTATGTATGGCTGGGTGTCGTGATTTTAGTTTCCTTTGGACCACTCCAGAGACTCGGGGGCAGTGAAGAGAGGAGCAAAACCATTCAGGCTAGGAAGTGTGTGCACTTCATCTGCGGCCACACACTTCTGTTTGGCAGTGCACATAGCAAATGCTTACATTATGATTGTAGGCTTAGGAAACAAAGTAATAAGAAATCTACGGAGTAGTTTTTTCATCTAATGCTTATCAGTTTGGATTGAAGCCAGCAAGCTGCTCATATTCTCCTCCATGATGGACTCTTCACACAGGAGCTATGACCTTGGAGAGCTCTCATCCTGTGGCTTCTTACACATTATGTCTTTGGTAATGAATCAGGATCCAGCTGGCATTCTGCAATCTTATTAATGTAATATTTAGAATTGATTCCACATGTTTAATGGTGAAGGTAGAGGGTGAGAGCAAGGAGTACCTGTCTTTCTAATCAACCCAACAAGAAAGCAGCCTGACATAGGTCTGACAGAGGTGTCTCTTTTCTGCGACGCATCACACCTCAATTCTTGTGCTGGCTCTGCCCCTTTTGTCACTGGGACCTAGGGAGAAGCACCTAGCCCTCAAGTCCACAAGGTCTTCATCTGTAAAACAGGCCAGTGCAATATTTGCCTGTAAACCTCACAGCATTTTGGAGGCTCAAATGAGACTATGGGTGGAACAACATTTGTAAAGCATAAACTGCTGGTGTGATATTATGAATAGTGTTTGAAATAATTGGTATCATGGATGGGTTTGGAGCTACAGAGAGAAAATATTACCTCCACTGAGGCAGTCTTGAAATAAGACTTAGACCTGGCAAATCATTTTAGTCTTCTGTATCAATAGCCTCTGGCAAGTGATAGTCTCTGGCAAATCATTTTAATGTCTTCATATTATGGTTTTCTCTTTTGTGTAACCACTTGGATTATTTTTTTGAGCATATACACCGAGTGGCCAGATTAGTATGATCTCTGAACACATAATAATCTGGCCACTCATTGTATATCCTATATAATAAACTGCTAATATGCAAATTGCCCTTCTACCAGGAGTTCAACCAGCAGGCGGGCCAGCCAACCGCCCATGTCTCCTTCTCCTGGCCAGGCTGACCATACATCACCCATGCACGAATTCATGCACTGGGCCTCTAATACACACACACACAAACACACACACACACACACACACACTGAGTGGCCAGATTATTATGCGTTCAAAGATCATAATCTGACTACTCAGTGTATGTGTGGCAGATAGCCATGAATAACATATCTGAAAGCATCTAATATAGTAGTCTGCTAGAATATATTAGTATCTTAAAATGCTACAAGTTATTTTATGGCTATCCATGGAGTTATCTTATGAGAGAACTTTCCTTTTTTATAGCTAAAATAATTGAGGTTAGAGTTTTGTAGTTAGTAGGTGACAGGACGGGATTCAGACTTCTTTCTAATTAGAGCATATATTATATTCTACCACACCATGCTCCCTAGAGAGGTAAATTCTTACATTTTCATATGCCAGAAGAAAAATAGGAATATGCCCCAAACTGATAAAATAATATTGAATATCAACTGTAATTGAAAAATAAGATTTTTTAAAAGAGGAAGTTAAGAAGACAACATAGATAACACACAATGGGGAAATCATCTCTGTAAGTAACTGCCATGCTTACTGCTGTCTGGCCTGGCTCTGAAGCTCTTTGATAGAACCTGTGCTTATGCACTCATTCTTATTCTTCACGTCCACAGGTGTCTGAAGAACTACCGGTATGTTTGCTACCTCTTTGCCGTGGGACTAGATGGGCTCTGCTATCTCTGCCTACCAATGCTTCAAAGTCTCCCACTGCTCGTGCCTTTTTCTTGTACTTTTGGCTACTTCGATGGTGCCTATGTGACCTTGATCCCAGTAGTGACTGCAGAACTAGTGGGGACCGCCTCTTTGTCATCAGCACTCGGGGTGGTGTACTTTCTTCATGCAGTGCCATACTTGGTGAGCCCACCCATTTCAGGTAAGTTTCTAGAGAGAACCCTGAATACCTCTTCTCTTTGTTGTGTTGATGGGAACTCACACATAGAAAATGAGGGTTGGAAGTAAGTTGGGGAAGAGTGAAAGAGAAGGGGATGTAAGAACCACCAAAACACCATGATCTCACCTATATTCTTGTTTTATAATCTTCTAACCTTAGTCTCCTTGGAAAGACAACATCCCAAATTAGGATCTTGGTTCCATTCCATGTTAATGGTGAGAGCAATAGAATGGAGCAGCTAGTCAGACTTATACATTAGGCTGGGCACATTCAGGGGGCTGTCTGGTGGGAGTACAGGGTTCTAACAGGAGATGGGTGGTGAGGCTGAAATGTCATAGAGAAGTATTTTGAGTGCCAGCTGAAGGAGCCCTATATTCTTTAGAGACGATGCATAGTATTAGTTTTTGTGCAAAGGGGTATAATAGTAAAGAGTATATTTTAGAAAATGTGATCTGGCAATTGATCTGGTCATGCAGGAGAGAAGCAGTTGGGATTCCATTCTAGTAGTTCAGGAGCAAAATGACAAAGGCCTGAACTATGGCTGATACAGCAGAATAAAAATAAGCTCTGAGAGCAAGGAGGTTTTGTAAAACAAACAAACAAACAAACAACAACAACAACAACAACAACAATAACAACAAAACAAGAAGAAGAAAAAATTCCAAGTCAACTAAATTAAGCATATGAGGGTGAAGGAGAGAAAGACATCCAAAATCACTTAGAAAACAATGGCATGATTAAAAGTAATAAGGAAGTTGGAGAAAATGGCTTTGCCAGAAAACAATAATGAATTTAATGTTTAGACATATTGAGATATATGAAATACCCAATAAAATGACCACTAGCACTTGTTAGGGATGAAATCTGAGCTTTAGAGGGAGGATACCGTTGACATACAGATTTGGGACTCATCAGATAAAGCATCTAGAATGTTTTGCAAACTTTAAAATGCTAAAGAAATTTAAAGCATGTTGAAATACTGAATTCAATAAATACTTGTTGCTTGTGGACACCAGCCTTGTGCTCGGCGCTGTTGCTATAGCAGCAAATGTGTCAGAATCTGTCCCTCCTTCCTAGAGCATGTGGTCAGGACCAATTTCTCTTAGGTGGAGGTCCTGGGACCGCCTACATTAGAATCCCCTGATGCCTTTGTTAAAAATGCAGATTTCTTGACCTTCCCTCCGTGATCTGAATCTTTGGGGGTGAGTTTCAGGAATCTAAATTCTCAGCCAGCTCACTTGATTGAGACCAACCCGTCCAGATTATTACCTGCCTACATTAAAACCAAGAGAATTGCCAAAACTGGTTTGGCTCAGTGGATACAGTGTCAGCCTGCGGACTGAAAAGTCCCAGGTTCGATTCCCGGCAAGGGCATGTTCCTCCGTTACGGGCACATCCCCAGTGGGAGGTGTTCAGGAGGCGGCTGGTTGATGTTTCTCTCTCATCACTGTTTTTAGCTCTCTATCCCTCTCCCTTCCTCTCTGTAAAAAAAAATCAATAAAATATAAAAAAAAAAAAAACAAACAAAACCAATAGAATGGTCTCTGAAGATAGGCAAAAAGAAATGAGCCAAACATTTGCCTAGAAGCAAATAGGGGGATTTTTAAAAGAAGGCAAGATTTCTGCTTTTGCTGCTGTTGTGAGTAGAGAGAGTGTTTAAGGCACATGTGTCAAACACAAGGGCCAAATCCGTCCCGCCAGGCCTTGCAATGTGGCCCGCACCGCGCTGTCATCACTGCACTCCGCTGCGTTTCCATCACAATGACAGTTTATGACTGTTCAGTAAACCATTTGGCCCGCGATTTAGGCTGGATTTTAGATTTTGGCCCCTTCTCTGATTGAGTTCGACACCCCTAGTTTAAGGTTATTTTCAAAGCCCAGCAAGTGCTTAAAAGTATCAAACGAGAGGAAACTATGGCTGCTTGATGGCTGCAGATGAAAATTCCTGGTCAGTTTAAACTCTGTGATGTAGGACTATATGCTTAGTGGTTCCTGTATGAAAACGGCCCCCAAAATGTTCCTGCCTCCTCCCTTTATAGCCAGTTTTTGTTTGCTAACCTTTAGGAGCAGTGTGATTCTGTTAAAAAGTCATTGGACAGGAAATGAAATTAGGATTCCTGGATCCTTTTGTCAATTAGGGCCTTTATTTGGCAAATCAGAGATTGAACTTATTGCCAGACATTAGAGGGTTAGGGTGTGAGTCCTTCCTTATTGTAATACTTCTGTTATTTAGTTATCTTTAAAATGACAACTCTCCACTCAGTTTCTTCTGTTTGGAACCGAAGGCACAAGCAAATCACAAGATAACTAGAATATTTGAGACTCTAGGAAAGTTTGTGGCTCTATTAACAATTTTTACATGCTATTTTTAAAAATATATATTATTTTATTGATTTCAAAGAGGAAAGGATAGGAGAGAGAAAGATAGAAACATCAATGATGAGAGAGAATCATCGGTTGGCTGCCTCCTGCAAGCCAAACTGGGGATCAAGCCCACAACCCAAGCATGTGCCCTGACTGGAATTGAATCCTGATCTCCTGGTTCAACCACTGAGCCATGCCGACTAATTTTACCTGCCTTTTTTTAATTAATGGATTTGAAGTGGGTGCGAGGAGACACTGTATGCTTCTCTGGTGGAGTTTCTTAGTGTACAAGTAAAGTTTGGAGGAATTCAACTTTTTAATACAAAATGATTGCCCGCTCAAGTCTAATTTTACCCCATTGATTCTCTGATCATTGTGGCCCATATTTTGCATAACATATGTCCTGGTTCTCCTCAAAATCTAGAGCTGGAGTAGGTGTTCAGTTTAACCTGTTGAAACAAGGGATAAGAGGGGGGAAAGCTGTGGTAACAGAATTATGCTTTCTGAAATTTGTATTTGCAACTTCTAAAATGATCTAAACCTTTGGTTTTCAAACTGAATGGGGTACAATGACTGAATCCAATTGACAATTTGGATTCTGCTTTATCCAGACACATGTATTGAAGACAGTTGGACTATTGGTGCTGTGAATACTAATAGCATTTTATATGATTCTTTTCTTTTAATACCCTAGATGATTGACCCCAACATCAATAATTTGAATGATGCTGCTTTTATCGTTCTACGATTTTTCATGGGATTAATAATAATATTTATTTTGTGGGTACAAAGACTCTGACACTCTCCCAGGCACTTTACATAATAATAACAATCCATTTTCAAAGTTTCCCTAGGAAATATAATGCATTTTTCAGCCGCTGCACAATATTTTTAGGATGTTTGCTTTTTTGTGTCAAGGTTATAATGGTGGTGCTAGCAATCTGTTGTTATTAGTCTTAAAAATTATTAGATTTCAGAGTAATTGAATTTTCAACTCAACAATATGATTCTGCTGTTGCTTGTTACAGGATGGCTAGTAGACACGACTGGCAGCTACACAGCAGCATTTCTTCTCTGTGGATTTTCAATGATATTTAGTTCCGTGCTGCTCGGCTTTGCTAGACTTGTGAAGAAGATGAGAAAACCCCAGCTGCGGACCCTTGCCAAAGAGTCTGATGCCAAACTGCAGCTATGGACCAACGGATCGGTGGCTTATTCTGTAGTAAATGAATTAGATCAGAAAGACCGGGAATCTGTGGCCATTGCTGTGCCTGGTTACAACCCCACCTGACCAGTGGCCTTGAGCTTGGGAATCTGCAGGGCTAAGAGAGATGGGACCCCTGGAATGTACACGTTTCTAAAGCATTTTATTTTGGCAGAAGCATTGCCTTCCAAGGAAATAATTATTGTTTGGTTTTTAAAAAAAAACATATTTATAGGGGGAAATAGCAAGTAACAAAGCAAGCTGGACTGGCTCAGAGTTTCCTCATTTGGGATTTGCACTCACAATGGAACTCACATCTTTCAGGCAAGCGAGCATCACCCAGTAGAGAATGCTAGAACATAGCTGATATAATTAGCTGCAAGTAGGGGTAAATTCAGGGCATGAACAAAGAAGATGACACTGGACAGTAGCTTTGTCTCAAACTCTCTGGCCCTCCACTTTCCTTCAGTGAGAAGGTGAAGAGAAGCATTGACATGTAGGTCTGTCTACCTTATACTGTGTGAAGAAAGGCATCGGCTTAGGCATGGTAGTGGAAGGTGAAGGTGCCAAACCTTTTTCATAGTGGAGCTTCTCATTAGCATTTTAAACAGGATTGTTAAAGGATACTTTAGATTCTTTAAGACAGTGATTGATACAGAAGGAAAGTGACTATCTCCCCCCTTCCACCCTTCTTATTCCTTCAGCCAGCCCTTGCTTTTGACAACAATGGGCTTTGAGAATCCAAAGAATCATAGAATGCTGTGGTTAGAAATTATCTTAAAGGTGGCTGGTATTCTCTTTGAAATAGTGCACTGGAAACTGAAAGGTGTGTGTGTGTGTGTTTTTTTTCCCCCCCAAAAAAAAACCACAAAAAAAAACCACTGGTGTCCCAGACTCTTACCTTCGTTACTATCATGTACAATACTTATTTTAATTTAGCAAAACAATCAAGTTGCAAGGACAATTTCTACCTTTAATGTTAACACCAACTCTTGGTGTGTTTTTCTTTTTTTTCTCCTTGGGAAAAAAGCGCTTGTTTATGGATTGCTGACACATTCCTGTTAGGAATGGAAAAATATTGGCAGTACTCCAACTGGCCGAGAATTGAACTTTGGAATCAGCAGGTCTCTGGTGAGAGTTTTTTTTTCAGATTGGACATGTCGGTTCATCACTGCCCAAAACAGGATTTGGGGGTTTTGCCTGAGAAATATTATTCTAGAGATATTCTGAAGGCGAGATTCCTTTCTCTCCGTGTCACTTCCTGCTCAGTTGTCCACTACTTTTTATCTCCTCATGGATACTCATTGGAAACTTAGTGGACATTTACAGCTGAATGAGAATGTTTAAGGGTTAACTTCAGCAGCATAGCACTCTTAAAAATTAAAACTTTGAATGGGGGAAAGGAAGAAGTTTAAGAAAGCCACTGGTGTGATATTTTATAATTCATAGAACACTTTAATTGACCAGATTAGAATAGTTTACTAATTCCCAAGTACTCTACTTTCCAATGGTTTGGGATAATTTCTGAGTCTCCAGATTAAAGAGGGAAGACATGGGAGAGAAGAGATGGCTCCCAACCTGTCTCTAATCATTTTAAATACACGGGATGATAATCCTGAACCCCAAATTATGTTACACTTTTAAATAGGGGCACATTATACAATTGAAAGTGGATTTTAACCATTGAACACATTTCAGTCTGAACCTCAAGGAAATATTTTGACGCTGAAGACCATTTAATCCACCATCTTCCAAGAGGCCTCACAAATGCCCTGCCAGAGGTACTGAGAGAAAAAACAAAAACAAAAACAAACAAACAAGCAAACAAAAAACAGCAATGAGGAAGATTTTAGAGATGAACTATGCACATTCAGCAAGTCTTTGCACATAACTGGATTATTTAATAAAACTACATATTAATGTGTTGCTTTCAGAATGAAATACTGACTTGATTTGATGGGAGAAAACTGTAATATTTCATGGTTGTTTTTCAAAGAAATTTGAATGTTACTTGTTATCTTTTTACTTAGTGTGAGAATTTAGTTGTGAACTTTGTCACCTGTTCTTTTTTTTGAGTAAGGTGTTTTTCCTTTATTTTATTTTTCTATCACCATAAACCCTCTCCCACCCCTCCTCCACAGTCACTGCACTGTTGTCTGTGTCCATAAGTTCTTTATCCTTTTTTTCTTCTCTGTAATTTTAAAACAATATGGAAAATATCTATAAAAAGTCAAAGTTAAAAAAATGAAGTTACATGTGGTCAGAATAGCACTTTACACTAAATGTCATTTCTTGAACCTTCAAGTCTAAAGGTTTTTTTAAAATATAAACATTATGAATATTATTATTATATATATATTTCCTATAAGTGATCATAATAAAATTTTATTTCTCTGGTCCTGAAATATAATTTCTCTAAAGTATTATAAATATTCACAAAAAATGAGCATAGAGATCAGAGCTTTTAAAAATTTGTATAATATATTTGAGATATTTTGATTTTACATGCATGAATTTTTATTTTATAGTATTTTTACAGAACCTGTCGGGAAATGTAGATATTAGAGATTACCATTGTCATCTACACACAATTGTTTATTTCAAATGGAGGGATTCATGGAAATGATGTGTTTTGTGGAATGAAGGACAAAATTCTGGTGAGATGATGCCAGGTCTTAAATATTTTTTTATGTCACTGCAAGCTATACTCTGAAATGGACTGAGTAGGAAAACAAAGAAAATTAAGTGATGTCAATACTTTTTCAAATTGTGATGTTTCTAATAGATCAGAAGTTTATGCTAATATTTTCTTACTTCAAAAGCTTAATAAAATGAATTTATAGTTGTGTGTGGAAAAACATTTTCCCGCTACACAAGGGGTTTGGATGGGATGGTGTGTGGGCCTCGTCTGAATCACACTAAGATTTAACTGGTATAAAGATGTGGTAGCAGTCAAATATTTTACAAAACCCCAAACCATTTATGAGTACTTCCAATGTATTAGCTACTGTGCTAAGCACTTCCTATACATTGTCTTATCTAATCCCCACGAGAGCCTAAATCATTGCCGTTCTATAGGAGTGGAAACTGAGGCCTCAGGCCCAGCACCTCGTGAAATCCTACAAAACTAGGAAGCTGATGCTGGAGGCTGCCTCCTTCTCTCCTGATGCTGGAGGCTGCCTCCTTCTCTCCTGCCCACTCCGATCGTTTTCTGGTGTGGACTTAAGAAGCCCTTTGGAAACAGGCCCTTCCTTGGGCAGATAAAATCCTTTGGATTATATTTGAATCTTCCCATTCATATAGATGGGGAGATTCTAGGTTGAAAATTTCCAAGCGTTTTCCCAAGAGTCTGGTTCCATCAAGACCCCTTCTTCCAGGCTAAGTGATGTAATTGGTGTCTATTGATCCAGGTTCTCTTTGGGAACATTTGTGTGGGGGGACTAGGAAGACAGTTGGGGAGCCCACTTTGTCACAAAAGGGAGTTCTGCCTTCCACATTACCACAGTCAGGAGTTGAGCTCTTTCTGAAGTGCCTGCACCATTGCCCAGTGACAATAAAGATGGTAGTCAACTTGACTCTCACCTTCCTGGTCCCAATCGGTGTAATTCTGAAATTATGTATTGAAATGAAGTAGAGTGAATCTGAGTTTTTCTCCTCATATTTCAAAATTTGAGGGTTTAAAAAACAAAACAAACAAAAAAAAAAACCTCTACCAAACAATAGATTTTTATACCTATTGCCAAAGCTGCTACTTGATTGAGGCCTGAGTTCAACCAGACAGACAGGCTTAATTCGATTGAGTGCCAGGGCTGGGAGTAGGATGCTGCTCACTGGAGGCCTGAACATTGAGAAAAGATGGTGTTACAGGTATAGGCACCACACAAGCTGTTTTTATTTCACACAGAAACTAAGGTTTGGCTAGGAGCAGAAGTCCCTGACTAGAGTCTTTTGCTCAGTCCTATGCTGGCCTCTAAATCATAGGGCATTACTGATAAGGCATTTCTCCCCGTCCTCACCAACGCTCATTGACTTTTTAATAATAGCCATTCTGACAGGTGTGAGGTGATATCTCATTGTGGTTTTGATTTACATTTCTCTGATGATTGATGATGTTGAGCAAGCCTTTCCTTTATTGACATGTTGTGTGGCACTGCCATCTGCTGGAATTAGTGAGACCACCTACCAGAAGGTGGTGATACCTCCAACTGGACAAGGTCAGCCTTAGAAGCATTAAAGTTTGTAGTTTCCTGCTCTTCTTATCCCCAGTCCTGCTCATTACCCATCCCACATTTACCTTCTTCCTCTTGCAACTACAAATATAGGGATAAAGATGCTGTGTGGTGTTTTTCAGTACTTTGGTTGCCCAGGTTATTTCTCTTTATAGAATATCAAAGTTAATATGATGATGATTTTGATTGACTTGTCTATGAATAACCATCGGTAAAATTTTTTAGACCTCTGCCTTTCTTGGGAATCCATATTGCCATCTTGGAGTATATTCTTGGTCCCCAACTAATGTGCTAGTTGATTTGATATGAGTTGATAAAGGATTAAGTTAAAGTGTAACATAGAGGCCCTAACCGGTTTTGCTCAGAGGATAGAGGGTCGGCTTGCAGACTGAAAGATCCAGGTTCAATTCCAATCAAGGGCATGTACCTTGGTTGCGGGCACATAGGGATGAGAGAGAAACATCGATCATTTGCAGGAGGCAGCTGATCGATGTTTCTCTCTCATCAAAGTTTCTAAATCTCTATCCCTCTCCCTTCTTCTCTATAAAAAATCAATAAAATTATATATTAAAAAGAGACCAGTCATTGACTATATTTGTGTAACACAAAGAACTCAAACACATATCAGAATTCAAATTTTGAGAAATGTTTAAACAAAAATGATATAGGGAAGTGTATTCTGTGTCAATTTGGAAGCATAACACATCCTTATTATACTTTACACAAATTATGACAGATTTAGTGATTAATTTACTTTATTATTTTTTAAAAATATATTTCAGAGAGGAGGAGAAAGGGAGAGAATGATAGAAACATCAATAATAAGAGAATTATTGATTGGCTGCCTCATGCACGCCTCCTACAGGGGATCGAGACCGCAACCTGGGTATGTGCTCTGGACTAGCATCAAACTGGGACCCTTCAGTCTGCAGGCCAATGCTCTATCCATTGAACAAAACCAGGGCTGAATTTACTCTAATATGTGTATTTCCTGTGAAAATATGAGGAGATGCTATTTATTTATAACAATTTTGTTTAAAGGAGAGTGTACCATGTTAAAATGAAGGACCCTTTTGTTGAACTAAGTAATTTGGTGAATTTGGTTATGCATAGGTGGGTCATGGCTGAGTATGAGGGTAAGAGTTAGAACTGAATTGCTCTATTTAAGGAAAATGAAGGATGTGATTTTTATTTCAGAGGAAGAAGAGTAGAGATAGGAAATAGGCCTAGAATCATGGAAAGAGACACGAACATCAAAAAATGTTTGAGGGTCTTTCTTTCTCATTCCATTCCTCTTCCTTTCTCCGCCTTTTGTCTGCCTCCCTCTTTCTATGAGCATTCTCTTTTTCAAAAGAGAAACAGGAATTATCTAATATTAAGTTGTAGACTCTTCTCTCCTGAAATCTTAATACAAGGTTTTTATACACAAACTACCTGTGATTTTAAAAAATATATATTTTTATTGATTTCAGAGGAAGGGAGAGGGAGAGATAGAAACATCAGTGATGAGAGGCAACTGTTGATCAGCTGCCTCCTGCACCACCCCTACTGGGAATTGAGCCTTTTCCTTAGATTGAGTCTCAGACCAGGGCACATGCCCTCCTGGTTCATAGGTCAGCACTCAACCATTGAGCCATACCAGCTGAGCTGTGATTTTTATTTTGTGTTTTGTTTTATGTTTTGTGCCACTGAAGTGTTAATGTGGGATGGAAGAGGGAAAGCATGTAAAGAGAGGTGAAGCTACTCTTAGGCTAAATTAATACTCAGTGGAATCCAGGGCTCAGAGGCACTCTCTAAAATCCCTGACTTGGAAGTTCAAGGCAAACACAGGGGATACTGAGGAAGGTGATCCCAACCTACCTCTGGTTGTTACGTGTGCTACAGCACTCTCCACACGGGGTCAAGATTCTGATTCTGGTTGGTGTGTGTATGGCAGATGCATCCTACCTCCCAAGGAAGAAGGCCTGGTGTCCTTGCTTCTAATTGTTTGCTGGTTCTTCGGCCTTCCAAAGTAGGTTTGATGAATACATTCCAAATTTCTGATTTCCAACATCCAACTCTTGAGACAAGCCTTTTCCTTAGATTGAGTCCCTTGGTTTCTTGAACTACTCAAAGGAGACTATTCTAACTATCCAGGCCAATGGAGTCTCATTTCTTATAATCCACCAGTTATAAAAAAAAAAAAAAAAAGCATGCCAAATTTTCACATTTTATACTTCTGTCATGTTTTTTAATCTCAACAATAAGTACATTCTATAAAAGAACCCTCCGTAGGCCTGCTTGTGTTATAATCACATCATGACCAAATAAACTGCCAGTTCAAGTCTAATTGGTATAACAAATATTATTACTAGGGCCTGGTGCACAAATTCGTGCACCTTGAAAGGAATTGTGGGCCATGAGGCTATGGTAGGCACAGGGACAGGTTGTGGCCCATCCTCCATGCCCCCACCTGGCCCCTCCTGCTGCAGCCCCACTCCCACTTGCTGACAGTGCCAGCCCAACTTGCACCCACTGACAGCGAAGAGCAATTGGGGCTGGCACCAGCAGTGGGTGCGAGCAGCGGCTGCTTCCCTGATTACACCTCAGGAGCAGGGGGAGGTGGAAAAGCCCTCAGGAGTGATCATTGCACCCACGGATGTTGCCGAGTGATCGGGCGTGGTGCTGGTTGTGGGTGCAAACAGGGCTGTGGGTGCGAATGGTGGCTCTGGTACTGGCAGCGGGTACGAGTGGGGCCGGCGCTGGCAGCAGGTGCAAGTGCCAGGAGGGACCATGGCATGCGGGAGCAAAGAATCTTCAGTAACCACGAGGCTTGCCTGATGACAGTGACAGATGCCCGGCCCCACCTTGGTCTGGCACCCCTGCTCCCCTGCTCCACCATCCTACCATGGCCAATGCCCGCCATGTTCTGTACACGCCCCCTGGTGGTCAGTGCATATCATAGCAACTGGCTGTTCCGTTTGTTCTACTGTTTGGTCTTTTTGCATTAAAGCCTTTTATTGCATAGGATAGGTAGAAACTGTCAAATAGGGAAGAATGATGAACTAGAAAGAAGGAATTAGTTGTGAAATTTAAAGTCACATCACCAATCAATGGCCCAATTTTCTTACCAATCAAGTTGGCTAGAGCAGGCATTTTCTTATGGCCCTCCTGGTTCAAAAGTTCTGTGGGTCTATGCAGTTCTTCTTGAACTGAGATAATTTTCAAGGACTCAATCTAGAAAGGAACAGCGACTGCTTATACTGTCCTTGAAACTCTGGCAGATAGCATGTGATCAACTGCTAAGACTAGTTCTGCACTCAGGACAGAAAATAGGTTTACGAGCTCCATTACTCTGAAGCCAGTTTTCCTGCCAGCTGATTCTCTTGTTGAAGGGTTTTTTCTCATCTGTTGAGAGACTGGTAGCATAGCTTTACTGATCAATAAAATAGTTTCCAAGATCACTTGGAGATCTGGAAAGAGGGACTTCTCTCTTCCCGAAGGCTCAAATCACCCAAAAGGGCAATTAAAACCACTTCCCTGGGCATATTTTTGGTCTAAACAAACAAACAAAAAAAACGGATAAGATCTCTGAAGTCCATAAAGACAGACTAAAATGTGTGAACTTCAGGCCATACTCTTCAGTTAAACGGAAGGAATACATTTCTAAGAATAAGGACTATCTGAAGATGAAGTTATCATTTGGGAAGATAACTCGTCATCAAAACTTGAAGTTTTTATGGTTAATTAATAAAGTGAACTCTGGGGCCTTTTTTAAACCTATGAAATAATTTCCAAACAGTTATACATTTTAGGAAGAAATGTACAATTATTGACAAAATTTAGTTATTATAAACATATTAATTTTAGTTCATTCATACTGTTTTTTATACTTTCTTAGCATGTTATTACTTCTTATATATTTCAATATTTACTATCTAATGAGCTTTAAGATCATTTCATAGATCTGAATGCCTAATATTTAAATATAGTGGCTTATAGTTATCTTTGTTATGATACAATAACTGTATTTTATTACATGTCAAGTGCCTAGTTGGGAGCACAACGTAATTACATTATTCCCAATAAGGGAAAATGATTTCTGCAAAATAAAATATTCTAGTCCCGAATTTCTAAAATATTTGAGTAAAGATCATTCCCTTCCCTGTTCTTCCTTTTGAATAAACAAAATGAATGAAATAAATAAAAACAGCAGGGATTTGAGTAAAACAAACATTAAAAAGAATTTAATTCATGAGATACACTGCAGTATATATGCATGTTTGAATGTGCATTAAAAAAAAAAAACATCTGGAAGAATACATATCAAATTTCTAACAGTTTACCTTAAGGGTGCAGGATTGGAGTAGGGTAAGGGGAGTGCTCTTAAAGTCATATACTTCTGCATTGTTGGAAATTTTACAATGATAATTCACTACAACAAAACCATAAAAAATAAAAATAGCAACAAAAAGTAAAACACATACACATACACATTAGTTTTAAGATACATTGGCAGTATAGAGAATTATATCACATGGCACACTTTTCCACTAATACTGATAGTAAACATAATCAAAGAAATACCTATAGAAGCCACTTTTAGCAATATCCCAACCTAGGGAGGGAGCAGGAGCAGGGGGCGGGGGGAAGAAGTCATTGGAGGGAAAAGGGGGACATCAGTAATACTTTCAACAATAACAATATTTTTTTAAATCCCTTGAGATCAGAGCCCTTAAACAGTGACCCTTCAAGGTGGATATTAAAACTAAAAGCTGGGGTTACCTATTACTGGATGATCTATAGGAAAGCATGGCAATCTGAAAACTTCAGATAAAAGAAATAGCTTCACAGAAGTTGAAATTCTAAAACAATTAACCAAAAGCCAGAAACTGGGGGTATGAGAATTCTTCCCAGTCCAGACCCAAAACTAAATCATTGAAATTTTAGTAATCTAGAGATATAGGTTAGGGACTTCTTCTTTAGGAATTTGCATATCATTATTTCAAATTTTCTGTTGGTCTGCTTTCTATTTCAATGATTGTAACCTAAAAACACTGCAATTCTAATTGGGAAAAATAAAATTAATTTAATCTAGATTCAGTTTAGGCATATTCTTCTAGTTAAAGAACAAGAGAAGCTTGAGACTAGTGGATTTTCCATTATCCATTATTTTCTCATCACTGTTTCTAGCTACGTAATGAACATACTAGGAGATAATACTTTTTTCTCATGTTCTAGTTTTTTTTTTGTTTTTTTTTATTGAGTCATCAGAAATGACCAATTTTTTATTTTGAACTTTTTTCTTTCAACGAAGAGGAATCTTTAGGTTGATGGTTAAATATCCTCATTGAAGTCAGGACATCCATAACTGGAAGGTTCTACCTTTTGTAAGCTACATAACTAAGAACTTAAAATGTTGCACTCCTGAAACAGTGTTCCTGACCTTGGTGTCAGAGATTTATGTAAGATTATACTCACCGCCTCAGTGAGTAATATGGGAAATTTGATAAAATTTAATCGAAATATCCTTATAAACAGCAGCCATCAAGGGCATAAAGTCATCATAATGGCCATGTCATTTTTAAGTGAAAACAGCTGGAACGTTGCTGTTTCTTAGTGAGTTATAGTATTTTAATTTTCAAAGTAGAAAACAAGTGACTCATCCTCATGTACATAAAGTACTTAGCAGGATGCCTGGTACACGATAATGACTCAATAAAAACTGACTCTGTACTGAACGGATAAAAACAATCAACCAAAGTGTAAGAACCCCAAATAAAGAGAAGAGCTTTAAAACCGGTTTCCTAGAAAATATAGCTAAGTGGAAAGCCGAAGCTCACAGAGGGCCGTGAGGAATTCCACGTTTTCTGGATCTACCTTCTGGGCCCTCTCATAATACTCGGCAGCCTGCCTTTTTTCCCCTTCCAGCTTGTACACGAACCCGAGGGCGCTCAGACTCTGCAGGTCTGCCGCGTTGTGCCCCAGCCTCTTGGTAGCCAGTTTCTTCAGCGCGCTCGTCAGTTTGGGACGCAGGGACGACCGGTCTTTGACCTTGAGGGCTTCCAGGTAATGGTGGATGGCAGTGTTTTCTGACTTACGGTGGAATTCTTGAAAGCGGCCGTAGTGGTAGTGGATCTGATGCTTGTGGTCATCCGTGATGTTCTCCAGGCGAAGGGCTTTCTGGAAAATGTCTTCGGCGTTGCTGTACTGGCCTCCCTCGGCATACATGTTGGCCAGGTCGGTGTAGGCGAAGGCGAACATGGAGTCTCGTTCCACGGCTGCCTTGAAGTGAGAGATAGCAGACGTAATCAGCCCGTCCACCTTCAGTTTGTCTTTGCCTTTGGGCCTGTTGCGCGTGGCTTTCTTGATTTGGATCATCTGGGCCCGGTAACAGAGTCCCATCTGGTGGTGCAGGAAGGAGGAGGTCGGGGTCACCTCCAAAGCCTTTTTCAGGAGTTCAAGGGCTTTGTCCCAGGAGTTTTTCCTCCTGTAGAATTTGGCCGCGTAACGGAGGACATAAGGCTCGGAGGATATCTGGTCCAGGATCTCTTCAATGTACTTTTCCCCTTCGGCTTCCGCGTGTACATCTTGAAGCTTCAGTGCCAGGAAGACCTTGATGTAGGTGTTATCCGGGTTCAGGGTGACAGCCTTCCTCAGAGGGCCCAGAGAGAAGCTTTTCACAGACCCTTCCCGGTCGGAATCATCCAGCCGATACACGGTGATGGCATAACCGATGTTAAATTCTGGGTTGTCTGGTTCCACTTCCAGAGCCTTCTCAAAAGCCGCTTTAGCCTTTTGGTAATACTTTCCCCCAAATTTCAGAAGGGCCCACCCTCTCTCACAGTCAATCTCGGGACACTCCAACCTGTAGTTGAAAGGGCTGGACATCTTCTTGCAGACGTCCCCTACCTTGTCTGCGTACTCCTGGGCTTCTTTCAGCTGGCCCATGTGATGGTACACCCAGGCGTAATTCCCCCACGTGACCAGGCTTCGCACTTCTTCTTGGTCAGAGTGCTCCCGCTGGATTATCTGTTCTGCTTGTTCCAAGCACTCCAGGGCATCCTTGTTCTGGCCTTTTAGGTGTTTCACGTAGGCCAGTAAGTTATAGAGAGTGAGTCTGGATTTTGTCGTCAGAAATTCAAGCTGTTGCCCAATTGTGTCTTCCACGTCAAACAGATCAATGTCCTCCTTGAGTAGATTCCAGGTGAAGTGACATTCTAACTCCAACAGAACGGTCTTCAGGGAGTCCTCAGGAAGCTCACTGTCAAAGATAAAATTCGTTTTAGTTTCTGAACAAAGGAAACACTTTTTAAACCACAGTACTATTCTTAATAGCAACTTTTATCTTTTATTGGGTCTTAGAGTTAAATCATAGGCTACTATAACTTTATACTAGATCTCTAATGTGTACAGTTATTTTCCATTGATAGAAAACTACTATATTCCCATAAACTACGAGCTAAGAAAAGGCCCTTACTTCACAGTAACTCTGTTCTGGAAAAGGAACAAAAGGTGTTGACAGAAAATAAACATGCATACAAATCAGTGGACAACATACAGACAGTAACCAGTGCTAAGAAGAAGAAAAAAAATCAGAGTAATGGGATTGAGTGCTGCTGCTGGTGGGGGATACTTTAGTTATGATTGTTAAGGAACAGCCCTTGTGAAAAGGAGCAACTGAAGTATGATCTCAACAATGAAAAGGAGGCTGTCATAAACGATCTGAGGGCAGAATGGTCTAAGCCAGTGCTTCGAAGCCAGGGTGATTTTAACTCTCAGGGGACCTTTGGTCATGTGTGGAGACCATTTTGTTTGTCACCACAGAAGGAATGGTCGGCCCCAACCACCAAGAATGATCTGGTCCAAAGTGTCAGATGGTTTGGGCTGAGGTACCAGCAAGTGCAAAGGCCTTGATGTGGGAATAAATTTGGCAGTGTTCAGGGGACACAAGGAAGTGGGGCTGAAGCATAAACAAAAAGGAGAGTAGATGAGAAGTAGTAGGCAGGGGCAGCTGACTTAAACTGTACTCTAACTGCAATGGGAAACCTTTGGAGAAAAATTAAGTAGGGAAAGGAAAATGTTTGATCTAAGCTTTAAAAAGTTCTGGATGCTCTGTGGAGAATGGACCATAGAGAGTCAAGAGAGGAAGTTGGGAAACTAGTGCAACAGCTATTTACTCAACAAATAGTTATCGAGAGCCTACTATATGCCTGACACTGCTCAGGTTGGGGATACAGCAGTGAACAAAACAGAAAAAAAAATAATTCTGACTTCATGTAGCTTACATTCTAACAGGGGATGGGATGTGCCATAAAGAGACAAAATATAGAATATGTGAGATGCTAAGAATGCCAAGGAGAAAAATGAAGCAAGAGAAGGAAATGGGTGCCTGGCAGGAAATGGGTAGCATGGCCAAAGCAAATCTCCCTAAAAGAGACACGAAGGCAGCTGTTGATGTAATCCAAGGAGAGATTATGCAAGCGTACACTCAGGTTGTAGTAGAGGTTTATTGAGCTCTGCATTGTTAGATTTTGGAGGCAGAACTGATAGATCTTTCTGGTGAACTGGGTGTGGGGAAGGCCATGGGGTGATGAGGGAAGCACGGATGATTGCTATGCTTCTGACTTTAAGAGCTGAGTGGATAAATCAAGAGGACTACTTGGCAGTGTTAATTCGAAGATGTCTATTATCACTTGAATTGCAAGAAAGATGGACCACAAAGAGAAGTGATTCAATTTTTTTAAATTTAATTATTAATGCTCCAATTTTAATCTCCAGCCCCAAACTCCTAACCCTGGTTGCTGTGCCCTTCATCTCCAGCCCATGTCTATTCCTCTAGCCTCATTTTGTACCACTTTCCTTTCACACACTGCTCTCCAGCCATACTGGCCTTCAAAAAATCTTTACTGTTTATTATTTCTTATGCCAAATATGTACTATCACAGGGCATTTGTACCTTCTTTTTTATTCCCTTATTCTTCCTAAGAGAGTTTCAGGGCTTACTTATTCTCGTTAATTCTGGTCTTTGGCTCACATCTCAGCTCTCTGAAGAGAGCTACCTGACTACCTTAGAGAAAAGCTACACCCCACCTTGCTAGTCCATCCTGAAGTCTAGTCAATCACATTTTCCTGTTCTTCGTGGCACTTATAACACTATTTGCTGGGGTTGGAGAGGAGGAAATATGAGATTTAAATGAATTGGCTTGTAGGAATTGGAAAGGGGCTATCCTAGTAGCCAAAAGTGACAGAAAAATTAGAGAACTGGATTAACTGCAAAATTAGTAGCAGTTATGAAAAAAATAAAACCAATATTTAATGGGTAGCACAGTCTGTTCAAGTATCATCCCCAAAGGTTGTGGGGTTGATTCCAGTCTGGGCACATAATCTAATATACTTCTCCAAGAAATGTTTTCCAATTTTTATAAATACTAAATGTAAATATTAAAATTGAATTTATCTACTAGACATTTAAATTAGCTTATTAATTTCCATTTTTATAATTTTCCACATTTATTCTCTCTCTGTTTGTATATATAAATATACACATACCATATACACAGGTCCCACATTTCAGTGGCTACCGGTCTAGACTAGAGTTTTCCAACAGAACTTCTTGCCCTGATGGAAATATTCATATCTGTGTTCTACAATATGGTAAACATTAGCCACACATGGCCACTGGTCATTTGAAATGCAGCAGCTTGTACAATGAAGAAACTGGATTTTTGTTTTACTTACTTTATTTAACTTGTCACATAGGACTGGTGGCTATGGTTTGGGACAGTTAAGAAAGTGGACCTTGGGGCTTAATGGGTAAAAAGGCCTCAAGCCTAACAGGTTAGAGCTCTCATTCACTTTAAATTTCTGCTATTTTACTGAAGGTGAAGAGCTAAATTAAATACAAATACAAACAAGGATATATTTGAAAACTTTATGCATATCACCGTGTTTACTGTACATTCAATTCAACAGTATAAATATATACTACTTAGAATATACTGTCTAAAATCATATGAGTACTCAAAAAAACAAATAACTAAAACTATAATTCACTGAAGGTTTACTACATGCCAACCAGTGTGCCAAGCATTTTATATAAATTACATTAATTTTTTAAAAATATATTTTATTGATTTTTTTACAGAGAGGAGAGAGGGATAGAGAGCTAGAAATGTCGATGAGAGAGAAACACCGATCAGCTGCCTCTTGCATACCCCTTACCAGGGATGTGCCCACAACCAATGTACATGCCCTTGACCGGAATCGAACCTGGGACCTTTCAGTCCGCAGACCGATGCTCTACCACTGAGCCAAACCGGTTTCGGCAAATTACATTAATTTTTATAAAAACCTCTTGCCTGGCTGTTGTGGCTCAATGGTTGAGCATCGACTCATAAACCAAGAGGTTGATGGTTCGAATCCTGGGTTGCAGGCTTGATCCCCAGTAGGGAGGGGGGCATGCAGGAGATAGCCAATTGATGATGTTTCTATTTCTCTATCCTTCTCACTTCTTTTCTCTCTAAAACTCAATAAAAACACATTAATATCAATAATATTTTCACAATTTTATGATGAGTACTGGCAGAGAGTTTAAATTACATGTCTAAAGTTATACCGCTATAAAGTGCTGAGCCAAAAGCTATGCCTTTCAACCATATTATTTTTAAAAATATATATTTTATTGATTTTTTTACAGAGAGCAAGAGAGAGGGATAGAGTCAGAAACATCGATGAGAGAGAGACATTGATCAGCTGCCTCTTGCACACCCCCTACTGGGGATGTGCCTGCAACCAAGATACATGCCCTTGACTGGAATCGAACCTGGGACCTTGTTCACAGGCCGACGCTCTATCCACTGAGCCAAACCAGTTTTGGCTCAACCATATTATTATACCACTTCTCATATACAAATTGGAGGGTTGCTTTTCATAAAATAGTTTTCTTTAAAACACAGGATATATCTAATGTATATAAAATTCACTTTGTTGAAGGAGTCCCTAAAGAGAAAACAAGAAGGGATTTCAGAGAAGCTTAAAGAGCAGGTAAGAGGTTTGTGTGACTGACCATTGGAAAAAACAGACCAGATAAAAGTCTCAGGCTAAGAAAACAACAATTTCATATATAAGCCCTAAAGGTCGAAGCATTCTACTTTGCTGAAACTGTTTTGAGATGGGCTACTTCTCACCAGGATGTGCTTCACCGAGTGCTTCAGATAGGGAGTGGCAGAGATACATATTTATTTAAAGACAATTAGTGACTCTCTCAAACAAGAGAGCTGGGCAAAAATGTGTTAAAGGTGATCTGAAGGAAGTGCAAGAATCTTAGCTAACAAAGATATAAGTATCATTATTCACATGTTAAGCACCCAGCCTGTTTTGTCTTCCGGACAGAAAGTACAGTATCAGTCACCAGTGACTAACTGGGCGCCTAACGTGTTAAGATAAGTGAATTAAAATACTTTCCCGGCCCTAGCCGGTTTGGTTCAGTGGATAGAGTGTTGGCCTGCAGACTGAAGGGTCCCAGGTTCGATTCCGGCCAAGGGCACGTGTCTGGGTTGTGGGCTCGATCCCCAGTGAGGGGTATGTAGGAGGCAGCCAATCAATGGTTCTCTCTCATCATTGATGTTTCTATCTCTCTCTCCTACCTTCCTCTCTGAAATCAATAAAGAAATATATATATATTTTTTTAAAAAACTTTTCTGCACAACCCAATTAGAGACTTGCTGTTGTATAGCAGATGCCCTTCCAAAGTATTTCCTCTATCTCTGATCTCTCCTCTGAATTCCAGACTTATCTCATTTTTAGTTCAAATAAAATACAGAAATTTAGATCCCTGAGTCTGTTCTTCCCTGTCTTCCTCACCTTGTTTGGCACCTCTTAGTTCCACAGGTCAAAACTGAGGAATAATTTTTGGTTCCTCTTCTCTCAATCTTCATACAAATCCAATAGGAAGTCCTGTTAGTTCTACCACCCAGCTACATTTCAAACCCACCTACTTTTCTCCATTCCCACTGCTATTTATCTACTATAAACAACAATTACCTTTCCTTTGAGCTGGGGGGAAAAAATTAGTCTCTCTGCTTTTACTCTTGGTCCCCATATAATAAGTAGTAAACTTTTGGAAATATAAACCAGATTATGTCAGTCTTAAAATCTCCAAATGACTCCCAACACCCTTAGATACTCATCCAGCCATATCCTACAAGTTCTTAGAGGAGTTGGCTGTGTTTTATCCATCCTTCTCTTCTACTACTCTCCCTCCTCATTCACAGTGACCTTCTTCCTGTAGTGACATACCAAGTTCAAGGACTTTTACACCTGTTGTTTTTACTCCATTTAGAATGCTCTGGTCCTAAATCTCTGAGTGACTCTCTCCCATAACTCAGCTCAAATATTCACTATCTAAAATAGCCTCCTCCATTCTAGATCCTTTTCTTTGGCCATTACACTGCCTTATTTTCCTTATCGCTCTTACCACTTTCTGGATTATGTTGGCTACTCATTTATATACTATTTGTCTATTTCCCTCAGTTAAATGGAAGACCCATGAGAATAGAGACCTGGTTTTAATTTTAATTTTTTTTTATTTCTGTGTCCCTAACATCTATTATTCCAGCTATAATAGAAGTTCAATAAATGAGTACTTATAAATGAATGAATGAGTGAATGGACTTACAGATTGGCAGCTTCTGGCACGTCCAGAAATGTAGGCTTAGCATAAAAAACACCTAAATATCAGATGAAGGAATCCCTTCTAATTCTTCCCTTCTGCTAATGGCTCCAAACTTTTCCCAGTTCAGCCTTCCCTCTCCATTTGTCTTTATATCTTGGCATGTTCCCTGTCTGGCTCTATGTTTGGGTTTTGAAAACAGGTTTTGAACTGTTTCTGCTAGTCCTCACTGGGAAGCCTAGTATGATTCCCCCATAAGTACTTGTCCCTTTCTCTGCTGTAACTGCACCATCATGGGTAAGTTTTGCCAGGGCCTTCCCAGCCTGCCCAGATTCACTGCGATAGGAGCCTGTCAGCTCCCTGCCCAGCCACAGAGGAACGTGAACCCTGGCTCTGTTCCCAGGGTTCTACCTCCGCAGCCCAAGACAATGCGGAGGGCGGCTTATGGGTGTGGGTGTGAGATCTGAAAGGGGCATTCAGCCTGCCCCTGAGTGCTCTGCCCATCAGGCCGGCCATGAGAAGTTTTACTTCTTAAACTTTGTGTCAAGTTAATATTTTATCTCTGGGAAGCTGGAAAAGAGAGGCTATTGTGCCTGAAGAGGCAACATTTATCTTTCAGCATTCCCCCCCCCCCCAGTGAGAAGCAGACTTTCACTGTCCTTGGGAGCCCATCTCACTCCCCATGGAGTACTCCCCTCTCCCACCCTACCCCACCCCACCCTACAGATGTCCAGGGCACACCCTTTTCCTCCTGGTTCCTACGGGCCCTTTCAGATCCCTCCCTCCCTCCTTACAAATGCTAGAAGTTGGGGACTTTTAATTATTATTATTATTATTATTATTATTTTACTTCTAATGAAGAGTCTTATGAGATGGATGCCATTCATTTTCGACAGATAAGAAACAGGCTCACGGAGCTTACACCACTTCGCTTTGGGTCACCCCGCTAGCAGAACAAAGGGTTATCTGCTGCAGGCGTCCAGGGTCTGAACCTTTCCTTCCTCCTCGGCCCTATACACAGGGCTGGTTCCCGGACCACGCACAGGGCGGGGTGCAGGGCCTGGGGGTGCCCCAAGGGGCACGGGTAGGCGCCGCCCCCATCCATCCGCCCTGGATAAAGGAATCCTCCGCAAATAGCGGACTGGGCGGAACAATAACCAACGTGTCCGCGGTGCACAGGCGGCTCACGGGCGGGCAGGGAAGCCCTCATCAGACCCCGAATCCAGAAAGGCGACGAGGCAGGAGGAGACAACTGCACGGCAGCTGCAGCCCGGGGGAGGGGAGGGCGGCGGCGGGCCTGCGGGTCGGACCCGCGCCACGTAGCGGTCCGGCCGGAGGGCCCTGGTCCCCCGCGCGGGCCCCGCCGGCGCCGCCCCGGGGAGGCGCGGGGAGGGGACGAACCTCCGGGGCGCATCGCCTGGGCACGGCCCCACCGGGGCCGCCTGGCGGGGATCGGGACTCCGGAGGAGACCAGTCTGATCGGGCACCCTCCCCGACAGGCCCGATCCCAGAGGCCCGGGACCCGGACCAGGTTCGCGGGGAGCTGCTGGGCCCGGAGGGGGATGGGGGTCCGGCCTCTTCGCGGGCCGCTGCGCTGGACACGGAACGGAACAGAGACACAAAGGCCCGCGCACGGCGAGGGGGACAGGCCGGGGCAGCCTCACCTCATGGTGCCGGGCTCCGCGGGGCGTCCAGGCGGGCGGCGGTGGCCTCGGCTTCTCCCTCCGCGGCACCGGGATGCTGCGCTGCCGGGCGGCGGGCGGGCGCGTGCCTGTGCGCGTGCCTGTGCGCGTGCGCGGCGGGCGCGCGCTCCCCGCCAGGCGTCCGCAGGGCTGGGTCGGGGGCCCGGGCGCGTTCGTCTTTGTTACAGGCCGGGCCTGAGCGGGGAAAAGGCCACTGGGAAGGGAATCTGATCCCTGACGAGGCGGAGTCCAGGCCTAGGAAACGGAAACTTCTGGACGGGATGGCTGGGGGCCGCCTTCTCCCGCAACGCCCCCTTCCCGCGAACCTAGGGGGGGACCTTTGCGGAGCTCAGAGTCATTTGGAGTGAAATTTGCAGCTGGGCCTCTGGACCTTGGTCTCCCTGAAGTCCCCGTGCCACAAGATGAACCTTTTAAAAATGTTAATATTGATAAAGGGACAGATAGTTCAGTGCTATTTTTGTTGTAAGAGTGGCAGTGACACTCTGGACAGCCCTTGTGCATCCTAAGCTGAAACGAAAGCAATACACAGCATTGCAGTGGTGTGCGCACATCGGTGCCATTATTTCCATTGGGTACATTTAGATAAACGTTGGGGTCAAAATGTATATGTATTCTAAATTTTGGTAGGTACTGCTGAATAGCTTTGTAGAGAAGTTGATGCACACACACACACACACACCTTACAATTGTATAGTGTTTGCCTTCTGTGCCCATGCCAACAGTGCTTCCAAGGTCCCAATAAAGATGGGGGTGGTACTGCCAATCTAAGCAAAAAAAAAAAAAAAGGCTAACGATCCACACATTGAAATCTTAGTCTCCTTCAACTTCAAGCATTCATTCATTCATTCATTTATTTTATCGGGCAACTGCTAAGAACCACAGGTTGTTCAGGCACTATTGATAACAGCAATGGATTAAATATACAGAGGATCTATCCTTTATGGAGTTATTTTCTAGTGCATGAGATTAAGATAAAGAACAAATAAAACATTGTATATAAGATAGTTCTATGCAAAAAAGCATAGAGAGGGTTGCAGTTCAGTGTATTTTTCTGTTGTAGATACATGGGTGAGGGAAAATTTCACAGAAAGTGGCGATGGAGCAATGAGTGGATATGCAGGTAGGGGGAAGTGTGTGCGGGGCAGGGAGATAGCAAGCATAAAGGCCTGGCGGTAGGGCTATAGTTGGCTAGCCCGGATGATGTGATTGGAGTGAAGAGAGCAGGGAAAAGGTCTAAGACATGATGAGATCAGAGAGGTAATGTGTATGGTGGTGGCTTGTAGGCTATTGTAATATTTATGTTAACTGGGAAAACACATTTTAGAAGGGTACTGAATGGTTTCAGTAGAAAAATAAACCTAGAATTTCCTTCTTACTAAGGATGCAGAAAAATTTAATAAAGCTCCAATGTTTGAAAATTTTCCAGTGCCTTGATCATGCATTTCCCCACCCCCCACCCCCCTTGTTCCTACTTCTTTCCCTTCCTTTCTCTCAGCTGTCTCCGGGCAAAGAGACAGTCTCTGCGTATTAAGGTTTGAATGAATAATAAGCAACCACTAGTAAAAATCAAAGGAGAAAACCTCCTGGTTACCTACTTATATGTTTTAGAAATTCAAATTCAGAGAGACAAAAGCCATCTGTAAAAATGTTAAAGGAAAATACACTTTCAGGATTGAGAAGAAACAAAAGCCTGACTGTTGAGTGGGTGTTGAACATGCTGAAATTACTAGATGGAATTTTAATATCAATATTTTTTTTTCACAGACTGTTGGATTGGGTAGATTCTTAGGAAAAAAATCAATAGTATATTGCATTTTTTAATTAATTTCCTCTTATGAACATGTAGAGAACAGCAACTAGAGAAAAAAGGAAATGATGAGCGAAACCTGGCAACTGATCTAAGATCTGCTTGGGAAAATGAAACTTAAGTAATAGATAAATACTCAAGTTTCAAAATAAACACTCATTTTCAATAACTCTTTCCAAGAGATGAATGTAAATCAGTTTCTTGGCCCTGGTACTATTGACATTTGGGCTGGATAATTCTTTGTTGTAGGAAGCTATCTCAGGCATTGCAGGATGTTTACCCAGCATCTTTGTATATACCCACTAGATGTCAGTAAAACCCTGTAGTTGTGACAACCAAAACTGTCTACAGAAGTTGGCCAGATTCTTTTTGCCCTGAGGGGTAGAATTCTTCTTTTCTCTAGTATCTTTCTCCAACCTGAGCTGAAAATCACTGCTTCAAGTAACGCCTATTTCTTAAAAATTAGTTTTCACAGTACAGCCTTCAAGAGATAGGAGGTGGACGTAGGAGAAGAAATGTTGAATTCAGATTAATCAGTGTTGGAATTCAGGAAGAGGCATGGGTGAAAGGATGGAGATGAAGGGGAATGCCAAAGAAGGCATATTCCCTTGAGCACAGGACTCCAGCTGAGGTGTCTGTATCACATTTGGTCTGGCTGGGGACTCACACGGATGGTGGGTAATCGAAACTGAGGCAAGATATGGCTAGAGGTCCTTAGTTCCAATGCAGTTTCACCTCTAGCAGTATCATGGGAACGGAGACATGGATGGCCAGGGCACCTGCCACAATTGTAAAAAAGTGATAGGGGCCCTAGCCTAGGTTTTTGCTAATTGCTACCTACACTGTTGCAGGCTCCTGCTTCTTTGGGGTCATCTGGTCACCCTAGAAACTCAAAAGTTCTTTTCCTTTGTCTGGTCACTTCTCTGAAAATGTCTTGTTCTTTTGTTAAGATGCTACCTAAGCCCAAGATCTAACCACCTCTTTGAGTTACTTCTCACCAGGTACCACCCTCATGTGTATGTAAGACGCATATTTATGAAGTTTTGTTTGTTTTTCTCTTCTTATTTTCCTCAGTCTAAATTATGAGGCCCCAGTCAAGAACCCTAAGAGGTGGAAGAAAAGAATTTTCCTTACATTGCCATAGTATGTTTAGCATCTGAAAACTATTTGTTGATCAAATGAATGAGTCATTTTATTTAATGTAAGTGATGTGTTTTATTTGCTACAAATTTACTTAACAAACTGTTATTTCTGTTACATAACATTAACAGAAAGATGGCTTATGGCTCTCTTCCTCTCTTACACACGCAAAGGCATAAATATTCTACTTCACTCTTTTTTGAATACAAGTCACATTTTATCAGGCTTGAGTGACTGTTCAAAAGTTACATGTTTCTGAAAGCAGCAAGCAGAAAAGATTATTAACACGCCATAACATAAAATCAAAGGAAATGTCCAAGTGGTCCATATTTCAGCGCCTAAGGAGCATGTCCCACAGGGCTCTCAAAGTTAGCAGCCAGCCTCAGGGCCCGCTCATAGTACTCCAGGGCTTTATTCATTTCTCCTTTCAATTTGTAGGTGAACCCAAGGATGCTCAAGCTTTCTATGTCTACCGCGTTTCTTTGAAGTTTCCTTAAAACCACTTTCTCCAAGGAACTGATACTTCTGTCTCTTACAGATGATGGCTTTTCTATTTTGATCGCTTTTAAATAATAGATAATTGCATCGACTTCAGATTTCCTTTGAAATTCCTGAAATCGACCATAGCGAAAATACAACTCTTGCATAGTTTCTTCTTCAAGTGATTTCACGCGGAGAAGTTTTTGATAAGCATCTTCAGCTTTTCTATAGCTGCCTGCCTGTATGTACATCTCTGCTAGGTGTAGATAAGCAATATCAAATGTTGGCTTTTGTTCCACAGCAAATTCAAGATGAGATATGGCTAATTTTGTTATCCTGTCAATATTTTCTCTATCCTGTCCTCTAGGCTGCCATTTTGTAGCTTTGCTTAGTTTATAGACTTGTGATCTGTAGCAGAGCCCCATCTGGTGATGCACAAGGGCAGAGGAAGGTGTTGCCTGCAAAGCTTTTTTTAACAGCTGAAGAGCTTTATCTATAGAGCCTTTTTTTCGATAAAACATGGCTGCATATCGATAGACATAGGCCTGCGAAGACATGTTGGCCAGTGCTTCTTCAATGTACTTTTCTCCCTCAGCTTCTTGTCGTATTTTCTGAAGTTTTACGGCGAGGAGACACTTAACATACACATCTTTTGGATTTAGCCTGATGGCCCGTTTTAGGGGCTCCAAACAAAATGCCTCCCCAACATGTGATGTTTTGTTAATGACATCCAGACGATAGACAACAATTGCATACCCAGTACTGAATTCAGGGTTTTCAGGGTCCACTTTCAGAGCCTTCTCAAAGCAGGCTTTTGCTCGCTCATAATTCTCTCCTCCACATTTCAGCAAGGCCCATCCTTCCTTACAGTCCATCTCAGGGCATTCGATTGAGTAGCAGGAGGGGCTGGCACGTTTTTTGCAAGTGTTCTCTACCTTGTCCAGGTAAATCTGGGCATCCTCCAGTCTGTCCATGTGGTAATACAGCCAGGCATAGTTGCCCCAGGTAACCAGCTCTATCGCATCCGACTGGTCAGCATGTTCTGCCTGCATCAAGTCTTCAGCTTCTTTCAAGCTCTCCAAGGCTTCCTTATTGTGGCCATTCAGGTGTTTCACATAGGCCAGGAGGTTGTGTATTCCCACATTGAAGTTGTTGTCTAGGAACTCAATTTCATTAAAGACCCTGTTCTCTAAATCAGACAGTACAGTGTCTTCAATGAGCAAGTTCCACGTAAAGTGACATCTCAACTGTTCCAGCTTAGCTCGGACCTGATCTTCGTCAGCGTTCACACTATAGAAATAAAAGCAGATTTTCTTTGTTAGGTGAGAAACAGCCAATGGAAAGAAGCCAGGTAAGACACTTCACATGTATTATATAACTTAGCCTTGCAAAGGACATACCTGCCTTACATTTTATTTATTTATTTGTTTATTTATTTACTTTTAGAGTTCCTATACTGTTGACCCTTGAGCACCACAGGTTTGAACTGGCAGGGCCCAGTTACAGCCAGATTTGTTTCAATATAGTCAGCTTTTCCTATTAGGGGTTTCATGTACAGGCCCGATTTCCAAATATAGTCACATTGGGGGTTAGGGCTTCAAACATGAATTAGGGGGTGAGGGCACAATTCAGTCCATAACAATTGTCAAATAATTTTTGACACATGTGCCAAGATCATTTAATGGGGAAAGATCAGCATTTCAATAAATGTGTTGGGAAAACTGATTATCCACATGCAGAAGAATGAAACTGAACCCTTCCTTTCTTTTTCGAATGGGCTGTAAAACAAGCATGTCAAACTCGTGACTGGTGTGCCACAGGTCTCATTTATTTAAATGGCCTGCCGGCCGAGAGTTTGACATGCTTGCTTTACAGCCTATACAAAAAAGAAAAAACAAAAACAATTCAAAGGGGATCAAAGACCTAAATGTAAGACTTAAAACTATGACGATCTTAGAAAAAAAAAATAGAGAAAAAACTCCATGACATTGTATTTGGCAATAATTTCTTGGATAGGATACCAAAAGCACAGACAACAAAAGTAAAAATAGGTTAGTTGTATGTCATCAAAATTTAAAACTTTTGTGCATCAAGGGACATTCCCAATACTGTGAAAAGAAAACTCACAGAATGGGAAAATATATTTGCTAATCACGTATCTGATAAGGGATTAATAAGCAGATTATATACACAAGACTTACAATTCAACAACAAAAATAAACAGCTGATTAAAACATGGGAAAAGGATTAGAGTAGGCAATTTCTCCAAAGAAGATAAACAAATGGCCAATAAACACATGAAAAGATGCTCAACATCAATCATTAGTGAAATGAAATCAAAAGCATAATGAGATACCACTTGACACCTATTAAGATTACTATTATATTTTTAAAAATCCAGAAAATAACAAGTGTTGGTGAGGATGTGGAGAAATTAGAACCCTTGTGTATAGTGGAAATGTAAAATGGGGCAGCTGCTGTGGGAAATGGTGATGATTGCTCAAAAAATTAAGCACATGGATCACCATATGATTCAGCAATTTCACTTCTGGGCATCTACTCAAAATAAGTGAAAACAGGAACTGGGACAGATATTTGCACATTTGTCTTCATAGCATTACTCACAATAGCCAAAAGGTGGAAGCAAATCAAGTGTCCATCAAGATATGAATGGATAAACAAAATGTGGTACATGCATACAATGGAATATTATTTCACCTTAAAAAGGAAATACAGCCCTAGGTGGTTTGACTCAGGGGATAAAGCATCAACCTGGGACTGAAGGGTCCCAAATTCGATTGTAGTCAAGGGCACATGTCTGGGTTTCGGGCTTGATCCCCAGTGGGAGGCATGCAAGAGGCAGCCGATCAATCATTCTCTCTTATCATTTATGTTTTTATCTCTCTCTCCCTCTTCCTTCCTCTCTGAAATCAATAAAAACATATTAAAAAAAAGAAAAAAGAAAAAGAAAGACAGGGATGAGGGCAAGTGCTGGGGAGTAGAGGAGACTGAGGGAGGTTGGGGGGACGGGGGGAAGAGACATATGTACTACCATTTGTAATACCTTAAACAATAAAATAAAATAAAATAAAATAAAATAAAATAAAATAAAATAAAATAAAATAAAATAAAATAAAAAAGGAAAGACATTCTGATGCATGCTATATAACATGGATGAATCTTGAAGACATTTTGCTAATTGAAATACGCTGGTCACAAAAGACCACATATGATGTGTTTTCATTTATAGGAAATATCCACAACAGGCAAATCAATAGAGACAGAAAGCAGATTAATGGTTGTCAGGGCCTGGGTTAAAGGGTGAGTGGGGAGTGACTGCTTAATGGCTATGGAGTTTCCCCTCAGAGTGATGAAAATTTTCTTTTTAAAAAAATGTATATTTTATTTATTTTTTTTTATAGAGAGGAAGTGAGAGGGATAGAGAGTTAGAAACATCAATCAGCTGCCTCCTGCACACCTCCTACTAGGGATGTGCCCGCAACCAAGCTACATGCCCTTGACTGGAATTGAATCTGGGACCTTTCAGTCCACAGGCTGATGCTCTATCCACTGAGCCAAACCGGTTAGGAAGAAAATTCTCTCCTCTCTCTCGCTCTCTCTCTTTCTCCCCCCATCTCTCTCTCTCTCTCTCTCTCTCTCTCTCTCTCTCTCTCTCTCTCTATATATATATATATATATATATATATATATATATATATATATATATAAATATATATATATATATATATACACACACACACACATACACACACACTATTTGTATATATATTTATGTATAATTGATTAGGGAGAGGGAGAGAGAGAAACATCAATGATGAGAGAGAATCATTGATTGGCTGCCTCCTTATGCCCCCTAATGGGGATCGAGCCTGCATCCAAAGTATGTGCCCTTCACCAGAATTTAACCTGGGCTCCTTCAGTCCATAGGCCGACACTCTATCCACTGAGCCAAACCAGATAGGGCATGAAACTTTTCTTGAAGTAGATACTGGTGATAGTTGCACAACATTGCAAATGTATTAAACACCACAAAATTGTATACTCAAAATTAGTTAAAATGGCAGATTTTACCTTACATGTATTTTATTGTAATAACAAAACCATATCACTAACCTGAACAGAAATTCTTCAAATTATGTATGTATATTTTTCTAGTACATGTACATGTTAAAAAAAAAAAAAAACCAACACCAAAACATTAACATGTAAAAACTAATTAGCAGGCTGTCTCATAAACCCCCATTGGTACCCTTTGAGAAACATTGGTTTAAAGATTAAATAAGGTGTCATTGAATAGAGACTGATTCCTGACTCAGCTCTATCACTTACTACCTGTGTGATCTCAACATTTTAAAATCCAAGATCCATTATTGAACCATCAGTATGGGTACTTGCCTCATGGTTTCTTTTGAGGGTGAAATACAATAACTTACACAATCATTTTAGAAACCAGCTGGCATTTAATAAACATGTAGGAAGTGATGGCTACTTTTAAAGTACGTATAATAATATCAACAACAACAACCAGTGATAAACCACTCTTTCTGTGGACCAAAGGACAACAACAACCACCACCAGTGACAAACCACTCTTTCTGTGGACCAAAGGAGGGGTGGAAGATTGATCAGGGCCAGTAAATGTGCATTTTCTGGAACTTTTTGCCCCTTCAAAATTTTACCCATTGGAGCTCTGAGGGGAAATGTACAGATCGATTTTGATTTATGTCTTCTTTCAATCTGCCACTATCAGGGATTGTTTGAATCTAGATTCTGTTGGGACAATAAATAAATTCTCACCTTCGGCCCTTTACTGAAAGAAGACATGGGTGTTCTCCAGGGCAGAACTCCAGCCACCACCCGGGGACAGGAGGCTATCAAGGCTTCCCCAGGAGGGAGGTAATCTGCTGATCTCAAATCCAGTTGAAATGAAGGAGCACAGAGCCCACAGCTGTGTGGGTCCTGCATTCCCTCCACCCCTCCACGGGAGGGAGCCCGCTACAAGCAATCTCTCTATCCAGGCAAACTGTCCATCCCCTCCCTAAGGCAGACAGAAGTGAGTTTGGCAGAAATTCGTTTCAGAGAATGGGATCATCTTGTCCCCGTGGAATTCTTTTCCTGTTTCCCTCCTCTTTTTTGGGCTTTTTAACATGAGTAAGTTTCCCCAAGGCGATGCTAACAGAAATGAAAATGCCTGAATGAATAAAACCATTTATCTGTCTACGAATGTACACACACACTCACACACCCAGTCCACAAGCAGATGCTCAAACAGAAGAGTGAGGAGACTGTCAGCACTGAAATTAAGTCTGTCGAGACAGTGATGATTAACATTTCCCAAAAAAACTTCAAGCAAAAAGGGAGAGAAGCAGAGAAATCCTTACCTCATGGTTGCTAAGAGTTCAGGCAGCAGTTTGCAGTGATTTGGTTAGCTGGATGGGCTCCACGGAGATCGGACCAACCTGCCTTGTAGGTTTGCAGGTAAGTTTCAGCCCCAGGGCAGGGCTATTTAAGGGACATAAACAGCTGACTAATGAGGTAAACTGTGGGGCGTGTTGTTGAAGAATAACTTGGAAACCAAGGAGAAAACTGAAACTAGATAGTGAAACTGAAGCAGAGTTCCTCCCAGTGAAAATGAAACTAAAACGGTAAGTGCTTCCTTTGTTTTGTTTTGGAAAGGGATTGAGGTGAAGGTTGTGAAGAACAGAGTCAGTGATGTGTGAATTCCTCTCTGAGTCTTTACTTGGCCTTGCGGAAACCTGGCCGCGTCAGGAGATGCCAATTATGTCAAGTCCACTGAATCTGGAGCCAGGGACACCTATGACTATTGGCTGCGTGAACTTGTCGAAGACATGCCCCAGACCGCTGCCTGTTTGCTCATCTGGAAACAGAAATGGCTCATTTTATGGTATGCACTTCTGCAAATCTCTAAACTGGAGGTATATGTATATGGATATGGATATGGATATGGATATACCTATATTTCAGAGAGGAAGGAGAGAGAGAGAGAGAAACATGAAGGATGAGAGAGCATCATCTATGGATTGCACCCACCCTACTAGGGATGGAGCCCACAACCCAGGCATGTGCCCTGACTGGGAATTGAACCATGACCTCCTGGTTGATAGGTTCAACCACTGAGTCACACCAGCTGGCTGGGATAAACTGGAGTCTTAACCCAACTTTGCTCCTATTTTCTGAGAGCTTGTCTTACGAATTATTCTATGCCTTTGCATACCCTTCTGGAGAATGGTCAGTGACTGTATGAGGCCTATAACATCTTCTTTAGACACAGGAACAGGGGAATTGTATATATTATACTATGATCTTGAGACTTTAAAACAAATCAAAATAATGCTAACCTGGCCTGTTTTGTTCAGTGGTTAGAGTGTCAGCCTGTTGACTGAAGTGCCATGGGTTCAATTCCCTACTACATGTACCTGGGATGCAAGTTTGATTCCCTGCCCTGTAGCGTGTAGGAGGCAACTAATCAAGCTGTCTCCCTCATATCAGCGTTTCGCTCTCGCTCTCTCTCCTCCTCTTCCTCCTCCTCCCTCCCTTTCTTTCAAAAAATCAATGGGAAAAATATCCTTCAGTGAGGATTAACAACAACAAAAATATTGTTAATGCTGAATGACAGGATTTTCTTATTTTAAATGCTCTCTATGGTAATTACCTAAAGTGTTCTTATTCACCAGACATTGATAGTCACACCTATGCAAGAGCATTGTCCATTCCCTTGGTGCCCATGCATTCAGGCTTGGTCTACCGCACCTGGCCCATGTCATTTTCTGTACTTGCGCTGTGTCGTGGAAAGAGGTGGAAGAAAATAGGGAGGCTGGGATCCTGGATGAGTCTCCCATTACTGGTGTCTGCCAAGCACCTGTTTCTCCTGATTTTTCTTTGGAAATTTCTCCACTCTCCTGATACCTGGAGAAAAGTGGTGATTCCCTGGCAGATTGGCAAAGCAGACTTATCTCTAACCACAGTTAATTTAACCATGGGGGGGAGTGTTTACTGAGAGGAGACAATTAGACCAGCTTCACTGGAAAGCTGACATTGGGAAGTATTGGGCCTGTAACATATACACTGATTGGTCAGATTATTATGATCTCTGAACGCATAATAATCAGGCCACTCAGTATATATATCAGAGGCCCGGTGCGTGAATTGTGTATGGGTAGGGTACAGCCAGCCTGGCCAGGGGGAGTGGACATGGGCATAAGCACACGCATGAATGATGCAAGACAGACATGTATTAAAGAGAGAGAAAAAGACAAGGAAGAGTGTGTGTGTGTGTGTGTGTGTGTGTGTGTGTGTGTAGAAAAGGAAACTTTCAGAAAATGAATTTTCAGCATTGGGCTGATTCCATTCCCAGCAGTCTAGCTAGGATCCGCTCCCTGAATGACTGACTAATAATGACTAATAATGATAAGCCACTTCACCTCTATGAGCCTCACCTTTCATATCTGATAAATAGCTGACTTGGAATAGCTTATTGGATCCCAACCTCCTACTGCACAGTAGAATTATCTAGGGAGGTTTTAAGAGTATTGCTAGCCCTAGCTGGTTTGGCTCAGGGGATAGTCAGCCTGTGGACTGAAGGGTTTCAGGTTTGATTCCAGTCAGGGCCACATGCTGGGGTGGAAGGCTGGATCCCTGATGGGGGGCATGCAGGAGGCAGCAAATCAATGATTCTTTCTCAACATTGATGTTTCCATCTCTCTCTCCTCTCCCTTTCTCTCTGAAATCAATAAAAAAATGTATATTTTTAAAAAGAGTAATGCTAACTAGGCCTCATCCCAGACATATTGATTCTGGGAAAGGGCCCCCAACTTTAAAATTAAAGATAAATCCTCAGGTAATTTTGAAGTACATGAGGGTTGGAACTGGGCCTATGATGATCCCTGTTGTCTACTGTGTGATTGAAATTCCCTGACATTTTAGAAAAGGTACTGAACAGTTTACTCGGGGTGAAAAAAATAAATCCAGCTGAAACCGGTTTGGCTCAATGGATAGAGCGTCGGCTTGGGGACTGAAAGGTCCCGGGTTCGATTCTGGTCAAGGGCATGTACCTTGGTTGCGGGCATATCCCCAGTAGGGGGTATGCAAGAGGCAGCTGATCGATGACTCTCTCTCATCGATGTTTCTAACTCTCTATCTCTCTCCCTTCCTCTCTGTACAAAATCAATAAAGAAAATATATTTTAAAAAATAAACATAAATAAATAAAATAAATCCAGATTTTCTCCTCACCAAAGATGTAGAAAAACTTAATAGAGCTCCAATGTTTGAAAACATTTCTAGTGCCTTTATTATGTTTTTTTTTTTCTTCTTCCTTGTTTCTACTTCTTTCCCTTCCTTTCTCTCATCTGTATCTGGTTCAAGAGATAGTTTTTGCTTATTAAAGTTTAAATGGATAACAAGTAAGCAATCAATGATAAAATTAGAAGAAAAAAACCCTCCTGGATATCTCTGCATATTGTTTAGAAACTCAAAGAAACAAAACCCCATAAAAATTTTTAAAGAAAAATAAATTTTCAAGATTGAGAAGAAAGATCTGGCTGTTGAGTGGGTGTTGAACATACTGAAATTATTAGGTGGAACTTGAATATCAAACTTTTTTTTAAAGACTATTGGTTTGGGTGGATCCTTGGGAAAATCATTAGTGTATTGTTTTTTAATTTCTTCCTGTCAACATGAGAAAAAGGGAAATATAAAGTGAAACATGACAACTGATTAAAATCTTCATGGGAAACTGAAACTTAAGTAATCAGTATGACTCATCAAGTTATTTCTAAGAACTATTCCAGGAGATAGCTGTAAATCAGAATTCCTTGCCCTTGGTACCATTGGCATTTGGGTTGGATAATTCTGTTGTAGGAACCTATTCCATGTATTGTAGTATATTCACCCAGCATCACTGTGTATATCCACTTGATATCAACAGCACTCTTTGACAGTCAAAAGTGTCTTTCTGCCTGGCCGGCATGGCTCAGTGGTTGAGTGTCAACCTATGAACCAGGAGGTCATGATTCCATTCCTGGTCAGGGTATATGCCCCGGTTGCAGACTCAATACTCACTCTCATCATTGATGTTTCTTTCTCCCTCTCTCTTCTGCTCTGAAATCAATAATAATATATTGAAAAAAGCAACAACAACAAAAAATAGTGTCTTTAGTCTGGCTGGGGTGGCTCAGAGGTTGAGCGTTGACTTATAAATCAGGAGGTCAGGATTCAATTCCCAGTCAGGGCACATGCCTGGGTTGTAAGCTCCATCCCCAGAGGGGGCATGCAGGAGGCAGCTGATTAATGATTCTTTCTCATCATTGATATTTCTCTTTCCCTTCCTCTCTCTGAAACCAATAAAAATATATATATTTTAAAAAGTGTCTTTAGACTGGCCCAGCCCAGCCTGGGGCAGGCAGCCTGCAGATGTTAGTCAGGTGTCGCCCATCTTCTTGATGAGTTTCACCTCCTCACCCCAGAAGTGGTTCTCCAGGGAGTCATAGAACTGAAGGTCTGCATCTCCACAAGGGCCTGGTCAGGTTCCTCTCCAAGATCAGGTGGCTCCCATGATGGCTCTCATGGCATCCTGAGTTTGCCCACTCACCTTGGGGAGGCTTCAGCACGTCCTGGAAGAGAAGGCGGCCACCACAATGGTTTTGCATCTTTAAGATGCTCAGCATCCTCGCGCTTCTCCTCCGCCAACTCCTGTGAGAAGTGCCCCCGCTCTCCAGCGCCACATCGTCACCATCCAAGTAAAAGCCCAGAGAGAGGGTACTTAAAGTGTCCAGATACTTAAAATAACCAGTTGGACTGCACAAATATACCTCAGATATTGAGAATTTTTTTCTTGGAAGAAGCAGGCTATCGCAGACCTCACAGAGCCCTACACAGATGTAGGCAGAGAAGCTGTTCATTATCCATCAACGCACACAAACAGGTTGAAGTCTGCTCAGTACCTCCCCTGTTAAAGTTTTCAGATTGTTTGAATTTCTCTGGCTGCTCAATACAAGAGGGAAGCCTGAAGCAGCATAAAGACCTACTGAGCCTGCAGCATGGGCTGCTCACTGAGATCGCCTCTCTCTTCTGGGGAGTGCTGCTTTGAGCCAGAGCCAACTACCAAAATGGGAAGAACAATGTGCCAAGGCTGAAATTATCCTACAAAGGTAAATCTCTATCTCCCCCCCAACCCCCCTGTTATTTGGCTTGCTGTTTGATACCCCTCAGTCATACCCCTTTCCTCCCCCAACCCCCCCTCCTCGCCCCCTGACTTTTTATTCCTTGAATTCCCTCCCAATCCAAACCATAAAACCTTTAGTTTAACCTGGGGGACCTATATAACTGTATGCGACTTCCTGAGATGATTTAAGCACTATTTATTTATTTAAATAAATAAAAGCATGCCTTCTGTTTGAGATGACAATTTAAGTGCAAACAAAGAAAATTTAATCACATTTGCAGAGAGGAGCTGAATGCCCGGGAAATGCTGATCTGTCTATGTGATCATACGTTTTGTTAATTTTTCTGACCCTACTTATTTTAAAATATCTTTAAAACTACTATTGAAAAAAAAAAAAAAGGTTCCTCTTTAGATATGCATGCCTCACCTATAAGAATTGTTAGGACAAATTGTGTTTTCTGTTTTAGACACTAAATGGTTAATCATCACCATGAATATTCAGTTTGTTCAAATCTGACAATCAGATGCTTAACAGAAGCAGTAGATTCATGGTTTGCCAAAAGAATATAAACTGGAGAGAACAGATTAGTTTTTTCCACAGTGTGTTATGATTGTACAAAACACTGTGTATTTGGCTAATTGGTGTAAAGCCAGAGTCTTTGAAATATAATGATATTTAATTCCATATGTACTACACTAAGAAATGAAGACATACTATTTCCTACTTGTAGAACTAGTGTGAACTTCTTTTGTGAAAAAGCCACAAATTTAAGAAAGAAAAGAAAAAGCTTCATCTCATGGTTGCTAATACTTTACTTGGTTCTAGTTTAATGTGTATGCATGTTTTTTAATGATGGTTTTTAAAGAAAAATATTGTAGTTCTATATTTGTTAGATACATTTTTATAATTTTGTATGAAACAATGCTAAGTTGGATTCCAGAATAATAAATATAACTTGTAATGGAAGGTAATACTTATATATCTGAGGTATTATTAAAGTGGAGTTTAAGATTAAACTGTTTGAACTCAAGTAGTTTTACTCCCTAAGTAGAATCTTATGATTCTCAGATTTCTAGAACAGGGGTGGGGCAGTGAGAAGCTTCAATTATATTCTGTGTTTAGGCTATACTGTGAAGCAAATTTACGGAATCTCTCTTGCAGAGACATCTATATACTTTGCTCTTTTGCCACCAACCAGATTCTTTAGTTTTCACATGACTGGGATGATTTCTCTGAATGCTCTGGTGTGAATGAGGACCACAAATAGGAAAGGGGGGGGGGGGGTGTATTTTTCACACTTTGGATTAGAAAATTAGGCACCTATTAAATGTGCTTATTTGGACTTAATGCTTGTTAGATAAAATATACTTACTTGGAAAATATATTTGTTTTTGGCTCAACATTTTCTTTATTAAAATGTGAATGTATTTAAAAAAAAAAAAAAAAAAAAAAAAAAAAGCCAAAACCGGTTTGGCTCAGTGGTAGAGCGTCGGTCTGCGGACTGAAAGGTCCCGGGTTCGATTCCGGTCAAGGGCATGTACCTTGGTTGCGGGCACATCCCCGGTAGGGGGTGTGCAAGAGGCAGCTGGTCGATGTTTCTCTCTCATCGACTGTTTCTCTCTCATCGACGTTTCTAGCTCTCTCTCTCTCTCCCTTCCTCTCTGTAAAAAATCAACAAAATATATTAAAAAAAAAAAAAAAAAAAAAAAGCGTTGCCCAAGCTGTTTTGGCTCAGTGGTAGAGCGCCAGCCTGCGTCCCCAAGGGTCCCAGGTTCGATTCCGGTCAAGGGCATGTACCTTGGTTGCGGGCACATCCCCAGTGGGGGTGTGCAGGAGGCAACTGGTTGATGTTTCTCTCTCATTGATGTTTCTAACTCTCTATCCCTCTCCCTTCCTCTTTGTAAAAAATCAATTATATATATATATACAAATAATACTCTCATATACAGGGTATCCCAATAAAATGAATACACACTTTGAATGATTATAAAGTCAGTGTTTATTAACAAACAGTTCATTTTCAATATTTAAAAGAATCTACAGAAATGATTTGTTGTTGTTGTTATTGTTGTTAGTGTCTGTTTTCAAAATGATGACTGTTCTGGTCTAGGCAGTGCATGAAGCAAGGGAATCATATGCATAAAGAATCATTCATTTGGAATTTGGGGGCCCTCAATTTGTCAACAGTTACCAATTTGGTACCATAAACTTTATCTTTTATGTATCCCCATAAAAAAACATCTACTGGCCCTTTAGAATAAATTTTCTTTGTTCAAAGCTTTGTCTGGCTTCATCCATTATTTCAAATAAGTTAAACCTGAAAGAGAGTGAAAATTAGTGGGTTATCAACTATTAAGTATATACATTTTGGGGGGCACCCTATATATACCTATTTTTTTAAATTAGTTTTCACAGTACAGCTGGTAACAAATGGAGTTCAGGTAGGAGAGGAAAAGTTGCATAAAGTAAAAGAGAAGTTGGGAATGTCAAGACAATGTCAAGTCCATGCTAGCTTTCAAGGATTTTAAGGACAGGATAATGGTCTTGCTGGGGGCCAATGTTGCAGGTTATATAATGAAACCCTTTGTGATTTGACATTGAGAACTCCAGGGCCTTTAAGATATCAATCAGCACACCTGCCAGTGTTCTACAGGAACAATAGAAGTCATGAATGACCCAGCTGCTCTTCCAAGATGCCCTCCTGAATTACTCTGCCGGCTAAGTAGAGAAGTACTGTTTGAAGAATAACAGGCCTTTCGAGATTTTGCTTGTTGTTGATAATGTTCTGAAACACCCACCTTTACTGGTTACCTTCATCCAATATCAAGTATTTCTGTCTTCAAACACCATTTCTTTGAGACAACCAATGAATTGAAGAGTTATAGCAGTTTTTAAGGCCTACTACTTCAGGAGGAGCTTTGCTCAAGCTATTGCTGCTATTGAGGAAGACACCGATGCAATGTTGGAAGAATTAAAACATCTATGCCCGCTTCAAGAGTTCTGCTTACACTTGGGATGAGGTAACCAAGGAGTATGATTGCCATCTGAAGAAGATACTAAAAAAGTTTATATATTCAATGGACTTGCTTATGATGAAGAACTTGGGAAAATCAAAAAGGCTGTGGTTGAGATGGAAAACAACTTGGATGAGAGGGACATTGAGGGGTTCCTGAACAATGGACTAAAGAGTTGTTGGGACTGGAAGAGGAACACAGAGCTGAAGAAGCAAGAGTAAAGGAAACTGCAGGAAAAGAGAAGAAACCCCCAGGGAAATTTACAATGGAGGGTTGAGCAGAAGCTTTTGCAAACTTCAACAAGTCCCTAAAAGAGTTTGAAAACATAGACCCCCCACACACACTAAAAGGTATTTATTGTACAGAGGAATGTTCAAGGTGCATTATCAGCTTGCAAGCAAATCTGTGGTGAAAAGGAAAAAAACAAACCAAGCAAACCTCCATGAGAACATGTTTCTGAAAAGGCTGCCATCTCCTCAGGAAGAGCCTCCTTTTTGGGGGAAGTATTCCAGAAGAACTTGCCTGCTCTTGTCCGTGAAGACCTTCCAATGGGACAAGATGTGGAGGAAGAAGACAGTGATATTCATGATCATGACTCTGTGTAGTCCTAGGCCAGTGGTCGGCAAACTCATTAGTCAACAGAGCCAAATATCAATAGCACAACTATTGAAATTTCTTTTGAGAACCAAATTTTTTAAACTTAAACTATATAGGTAGGTACATTGTTATTAACTTAATTAGGGTACTCTGAAGCTGGCTTTTGCTAAAAACTCAAGGAGCCAAAGATCTGCATGTGGCTCGTGAGCCATAGTTTGCCAACCACTGTCCTAGGCAAATGTGTGTCTTAGTTTTTAACAAAAAGTTTAAAAAGTAAAAATAATAATAATAATAATAGCAAAACCTGATAGAATCAGGATATAAAGAACGAGTATTTTTGTATAGTGTTTGAGTTTTAAGCAAAGTCTTCTTACAAGAGTCAAAAAGTTTAAAAAAAAGTAAAAGTTTATATAGTTAAATAAAAAAGGTGGCAGCAAGCTAAGATTTATTTATTATTGAAAAAAAAATTTTTTTTCCAAATAGGGTCTTCTAAGTGTATGGTGTTTATAAAGTCTACAGTAGAATACAGTAATGTCCTAAAGCCTTTATATTTGTTTACTACTCACTGTCTGGCACACCCAGACAACTTCCAGTCCTACAAACTCCATTCATGGCAAGGGCCTTATATTATTTTAATCTTTTTTTCTGTATTTTGACTGCATCCCTTTCATATTTAGATATGTCTTTTTTTCTGTATTTTGACTGCATCCCTTTCATATTTAGATATGTCTTGATATCCAAATACTTACCATTGAGTTACAGCTGCTACAGTATTCAGTACAGAATCATGCTGTGCAGGTTTGTAGCCGAGGATCCATGGCTGTGCCATATAGTATAGAGGTGTGGTAGGCTCTACCAGCGAGGTTTGTGAAAGTGCACGCTAACGTTTGCACGGTGATGAAACCCGCTCAACCAGGCATCTCTCAGAACTATCCCCGTCAGCGTATGACTGACTTGTTTTACTGTCTCTCTCACTCACTAGATTGTTAGTTGCATGAGGGGAGGGGGGAGGGGGGAGGGGGGAGGGGTGTGCAGGAGGCAGCTGATTGATGATTTTCTCTTATTGATGTTTCTAGCTCTCTAGCCCTCCCTCTTTTTTTCTGTAAAAAGTCAATAAAATATATTTTTTTAAAAATTAAAAAAAAAAAAAAAAGCAAGCATACTTTAAAAACTACCATCATTGAGCTCACAGACCTCTGGTTTAGTCTGATAAAATCTAAGACACCAAAGAGGGACTAGGACCTCCGCTGTCCCTCCCCGTTGCCCAGATTTTGCCTGGAAGGCGGGGAGCAGGCTACCCCCCCCGGGGCTCTCTCCAGAAACTCCGGTCCTCCACCTGCTGCCAGCGGCCAGCGCTCCTGCGAGCACCACCCTCCGTGTCCTCCGGCCGCCTGACTCAGAAACAGACCGAGCCACGGAAATAAAAAGGCACGAACTGGCCAGAGAGGGTCCTGGTCAAGTTAAGAGCTGCGCATCTTTCGTCGCTAAGCACACACCGAATCGGGAGGGTTCTCGGAGCTTCACGCCAGGGCGGGATTGGCGAGAAACGCTCCACCGGCGAGCAGAGGAGCCAGGCATCCTTACCTCATGATGGCGATGTCCCTGGAATTCCCAGAAGCCGAGTCCAGGCTGGTGTCACGTTCTGCTTGTGGATCGCAAGCAAGAGCTGATGAGGTGTCCGAGCCCCGGCGAGGTCTGTGCTTTTATGGAGAGGAAATGGAAACTGAAACTGATGTCAGGACTCCTGGTGAGGAGAAATGAAACTAAGGTCTGAGCGCTGAGCTCACTCTCGCCCCCCGGGAATACTGTTCTCCGGTTCCGAAACTGTGTGTGAGCGACTGGAAAGGGCATAGAGGTGGCTTGCAGGTTCCAGGTCCTTCTCCCAGAGACCTGATCCAACCTGGGGGTGGGCTGGGGCTCGGGAATCTGCATTTTTATACGCCCCCTGGCGTGGCAGGAGGTGACACCCAGGTCCTTATGACTTTGATGAAAGTTAACTTTTAATAAAAACATATTTTATTGATTTTTCACAGAGAGGAAGGGAGAAGGGACAGAGAGCTAGAAACATCGATGAGAGAGAAGGGACAGAGAGCTAGAAACATCAACCAGCTGCCTCCTGCACATCCCCCACCGGGGATGTGCCCGCAACCAAGGTACATGCCCTTTGACCGGAATCAAACCCGGGACCCTTCAGTCTGCAGATCGACACTCTATTCACAGAGCCAAACCGGTTTCGGCTGAAATTTAAATCCTAATTCTAGAAATCACCTCTCTCTTTGTAGATACACTCCTCAGAAATGAGCCTGTCCCCCAGGTAATCCCCTGACATAGCAGAATACAGGATTCTGTCTAACGGTCACAGTGTGGGGACCTCTGGCACCTTTTTAAAAATATATATATTTTATTGATTTTTTACAGAGAGGAAAGGAGTGGGATAGAGAATTAGAAACACTGATGAGAGAGAAACGCGATCAGCTGCCGCCTGCACACTCCCTACTGGGGATGTGCCCTCAACCAAGGCACATGCCCTTGACTGGAAATGAACCTGGGACCCTTGAGTCTGCAGGCCACTGAGCCAAACCGGTTAGGGCCCTCTGGTATCTTGACCTTAGTTATGTTTCAGCTCCTGGGCCCTAAGATGGAATGGCCCTCTGACTACTTTCCCAGGAGTCCAGACAGGGATGCCAGCAGGAATCTCAGAACTGTCCTCAAGGCCTGAAGAAAAGATTCATTACCCTTACCTCACTCCGACCAAGGAGCTCCTAACCATTGTGATTTTGCCCTGTATAACCTGTAACCTACACACCATCTGGGAGTTAGGGCTTTTGCTCAAAAGCTTCCTGTTCTCCTGGGTGGCACCATTCGTCATAAAATAGCCAGCATTTCTCCCCTGCAGTTCTCCGAGTCCAGCGTTTGGCTCTGTGAGTGCCGTGCTATTAAACTCCTGTTCTGTTGCAGGAGTCCCTGTACCACATGTACAGAAACACTGTCCTAGAGGTGTTTGGAAAAGCAGTTTCCGATTTGCTTGCAGCAGTTAATGTAGTGAAGCAGACAATCTAGAAGAGAGGAAAATAAACACGGGACACCTGGGTTTGGGCTATGTCTTTGGTCAGCTCTGGGATATTTCTTGAGCCTCATTTCTTTACTTTTAAAATGGCTTAGAATGAATTGGCTTTTTCCTTCCACCCAAATTATAGGAAACTATGTCATGGGGAGACCCATTCTTACCTTCATCTTAGGTAGGGGTGTCGAACTCAATCAGAGAAGGGGCCAAAATCTAAAATCCAGCCTAAATCGTGGGCCGAATGGTTTACTGAACAGTCATAAACTGACAATGTTAACCAGAAATGTGAATTTAAAATGAGTGGAACAATCTTTTCCTTAGTGCTGTTAACCAACTCACATGCTATCAAGGATTTGGCCCGCGGGCCTTGTGTTTGACATGTGTGACTAAGGTGTGGCCCTAAGGAGTGAGTCGCCATCAAAGAGTGGTCCTCACCCTCCAAATAGGGACCCTGAGAGCCTAGTCCTCCCAGTCCCTGCCCCTTCTCTCTAACGGGAGCATAACTGACAGCAGTAAGACATTTTGCCCTGTTGGCCTTGGTGCCCAGAGTTGCGAAATGCTTGGCACTGGGTTTGGGCACCTGGGTAATGGACTAACTGGATGTAAATTCTTGGGCAAGTAATTTGCCCTCTGAACCCTGTCTTTCTCATCTAGGAAATGAGGCTAATAAAAAAAAAAAACAGTTCTTCAGAAGATGATAGGCGATAATGCATTTAAAGCACTTAGCAGGACTGATTGCGTGGAAACTGGTACAACTGTGATTACTGGTAAATTAGTGCCACAGTTTTAAGTGGATTTTGAGGGGGTGAAGTGGGCCACAGAGTTTCTCAGTGGATGGGACAGAGGAGGCATCCATGAACCAGCTAACAAGGTGCTGGGCTCCCCATGTGGCTCTCCCTTTGACAATGTTTAGCACTGCTGGGGAGGAGCGCCTAACTCCAGTGGCCCACATACTCCAGCATGCCCCCTCAGACTTCCTCAGTTCAGGGCTCCGGACAGCCCCAAGCACAGGCCGCTGCAAAACCTCTTGGACAGACTGAGGCTCTGGGCAGCGCCATGTTTTCTGGTCATCCTTACTCATGCAGGTACAGTTAATATTACTCATGGCCAGGAGCCCATTCTATAGAAAAAGGTGACCCGAGGCACCTGGCAGTGAATTCTTCTTACTCCTCTCCCGCTACAGAAGATTTGGGAGCCCTTGGGTCTTCCTTCCCTCACTGCCTGAGTGGTCCCTTGGATCCTTTCTCCCCAGACAACCAATCCCTCGCAGAGCTGTTTGATGGGAAAGGCTTCTTTTTCTCTGTCCGCTCTCTTCTGAAGTTCTGTGTGATGGCAGAGCTCCAAAGGGTCTGTATGCACTTTTTGAAACCGTGTGCTAAGGTTATAGCTTACCTACAATAAAATGCACCCATTTTTAGTGGACAGTTTGATGTGTTTTTCTCAATGGATATACCCAAGTGACCACCAGCAGTAGCTCCTTGTAGACTATCGGCATGGTCATCAGTTTCCCATGTGCCTTCCTAGTGGGTTCCAGCCCCACCCCCCTCCACGCCCTGGCAGCTATGTCTCTGCTTTCTACCACTAGAAATTAGGTCAGTATTAGACAAGGATTAGTGCCAGTAACCGAAACCTAACATTGTCACTGGTAATAAAATGTAAAGGGAGCTGGTCAACCTTGATGGCTCTGAATGGCCAGAGCTATTAACTCATTGTCAAGATTGAGTCACTAGTGGTGAAATGTAAAAAGAACTAGCTAACCGAAACCAAACATTGTTCCCTGGTAGTATTATAAAATCTAAAAAGAGCTGGCCACCTGGATGGCTCTGAATGGTCGGAGCTATTAACTCATCATCTAGTTGAGATAGTGGTAGATAGAGGCAACTTTAATTTGTTGATCATATGTAAATTCTTGTTGATTTTCTGTTGTTGGAATTTCCCCCGCCTAAGAGATGTCTTTGTCTCAGAATTTCAATAAAAGGAATGATAAAAGGCCAGAGCAATGGAGTAGTCCTACCACTAGAGGTGGACTTCCCGCCTGGCCTCCATTTTCCCAAATTAACTACTTTCTAGCTTCTTCATTTTAGGGTGCGGCTTTCTCCAGAAACCGGACTCTGAGTGGGCCCTGAACCACACGGGTTGTGTTAAGGGATCCCACAGGTTAGACCATTCATTATGTTTTTAAGAGAAATGATTTTCAGCTCTCATCACAGCAATAAAAACCAACTCTAAGCCTTTGGTTTGTTTTTATATAAGAAATGGAAAAAAAAAAAAGCCCATCTTTAAGAATTCCCACCTTGAAGTGATCAAACTTTCAGGGTGAAATTCCTCTCAATGTGAGCTGGGTTTGGACTACCAATTCCATCTTTAATAAGGTCTGCTGAAAAGAAAATGACAAGAAGAAGGCCTTCGGTCCTTCAAAGGAGAACAACAACAAAACCCCATAAAGAGGAATTCTTTAGCTCTGACACTGAATCAGCAAACTTGGTGCCTGAGTGGGTCTAACCACTCCTGCCAAACCTCTTTCACCGAGCTCCCAGCTCCACCAGCTGTTCCAGGGAACAGTTCTAGAAGTTTTGAGAGCTGAGTTCCTACTTTTTTTCTATTTCCAGAAAAAGCCACGGAAATAAAAAGTGCGATGAAGGCACATTCATTCGCTAAGTAACAGGACAACTCAGAACCTGGGTCTGAACCCGAGAAACTGCTGTTTTGCATTCAAGATCAATAGTATCTATGTCTTGCCGAAACCGGTTTGACTCAGTGGTAGAGCATCGGTCTGTGGACTGAAAGGTCCCAGGTACGATTCCGGTCAAGGGCATGTACATTGGCTGCGGGCACATCCCTGGTAGGGGGTGTGCAAGAGGCAGCTGGTCGATGTTTCTCTCTCATCGACATTTCTAGCTCTCTATCCCTCTCTTCTCCTCTCTGTAAAAAATCAATAAAATATATATATTTTTAAAAAAATAGTATCTATGTCTTATTATCTCACTGACCTCGTGACTGCAAACCGCTTTTCTGCACGTCTCAAAAGGTGGGTCCAAGCTGATTGGCTCTTCCGAAATCTTCTTTGTCTGTGGCAAGTAAATGCTGAAAGGGCTATTTAAAGGGGAAGGCAGGCGTGAGCAGTTGCTAGCTTCCCTTTTCCAAGAGATTGAGAGGGAAGAGGAACTGGAAAGTGAAAGTGATTTCACATCACGAGGAGGAAAATAAAACAAGTTTGATGATTTCTGCTATGACTCAGTCCAAGTACATTGTTTAAATTCCACTCACACTCCCTGGGGTGGGTCCCAGGGAACTGCATTTTTAATAGTCTGTAGGAGATGCAGACCCCAGGGGTTTCTGGGACCACATGATGTGAAAAATTGTTCCAGAAATATTTTCTAAAACATAGCTTCATCCACTTTATGTGTGACAGACGATTTGCACTGGGAGACCTGGATTTAGTTCTGTTTGTTCAGTTGACTAGCACTTGGGTTAGCCATGAATCACACCACTGCGTCCTAATCTGCTTTGCCCCAGGATAAATATAAAAAGCCACGCCCTGGAGAGAACCTTGGGCGGTTTAGATCTCTGGGTAGTCTAAGATAACAGTTTAGTTTTCCCAGTTGTGAAATGGGGAAGTAGTAACACAATAGTGTGTAGTGGCTGGCTAGTTAGCTGATAAATTTACATGCCTGTATTTATTCTTTGAGCTCTGAAGGAGGAATATTAAAGACACATATATTCTTTTATTTTTATAAAATTTCTGAAAGGGTTCAGAATGAACCACCCCAAAAGGTGCCGCTTTGGCCTATGGACTGTTTTAAGCTGAAGGCAATGAAGACCCAGCAAACTCAAGAAAAGCTTTGGCCTCTCCTTTAACTCCCTAGAAGAATTTAGATAGAAGAAACAAGACAGTGCAAGCAAACCCAGAGCTTAAAAATAGAAGGTGATTGAAGGAAAGATGGCTTTCTTTATACACATTTGTAATGAGTACTCATTTTTAAGTTTGATTGAAATGTAATCCTCATACCATTCAACTCACCCATTTAAAGTATAGAATTCAATAGTTTCAGCATTTCACAGTGCTGTGCAACCATTATCACAATACATTTAAAAATTTTATTATTTTTTAATTTCTTATTGATTTGAGACACAGAGAGAAACATTGATTTGCTATTCCACTTATACATTCATTGGTTCGATTTTTATTGACCTGACCTGGGATCGAATGAGAACCCTTGGCGCATGGAGACAAAATTCAAACCAACTGGGCTACCCAGCCAGGGCACAGTAAATGTTAGAATATTCTCATTAATCCCAAAGAAACTCCACATCCCATTTGTTTTACCTCCAATCCTACTCTCCTCCCAGTCCTCAGCAACCACTAATCTACTTTCTGGTTCTCTATTTGCTTACTATGGACATTTCATATAAAAAGATTCATACAGCCCTAGCTAGTTTGGTTCAGTGGATAGTGCGTCAGCTTGTGGTCTAAAAGGGCACATGCCTGGGTTCTGGGCTCAATCCCCAGGAGGGAGCATGCAGGAGGCAGCCAATCGATGAGTTTCTTTCATCATTAATGTTTCTATCTCTCTCTCTCCCTTACTCTCTGAAATCAATAAAAATACATTAAAAAAAAAAAAAAGAATTATACAGCCCTGGCTGGCTTGGCTCAGTGGATAGAGGATTTGTGGACCAAAGGGTCCCAGGTTTGGCTTCAGTGAAGGGCATGTACCTCAATTGCAGGCTCCTCTCTGGCCTGAGTCCTGGTCAGGGCCATGCAGGAGGCAACCAATCAATGAGTTTCTGTCACATAGATGTTTCTCTTTGCCTTTCCCTCTTTCTTCCACTCTCTTTCTGAAAATCAATGGAAAAATATCCTTGGTGAGGATTAAAAATAATTAATTAATTAATTAATTAAAATAAAAAGAATCATACAGTGTGTGACCTTTTGTGACTGGCTTCTTTCACTTAGCATAATGCTTTCAATGTCCATCTATGTTGTAGCATGTATCAGTAAGTATTTAATTTATTTTTATTGCTAAATACCATTCCCTTATAAGGATATCCCTTTTTAATCTATCAGTTCCTTGGTTGATAGATCTACTTCTTGGCTATTATGAATAATGCTGCTATGAGCATTCAGGTACAGGTTTATGTGAATATATGTTTTCATTTCTCTTGGGTATGTACCAAGGGATGGAATTGCTGGGTTGTACGGTGATGCATTGTTTAACAGTTTGAGGAAGTGCCAAATTGTTTTCCAAAATTGCTGCACCATTTTACATTAAGGATTTTAGTCATTAATGATTCCCCCCCACCCCTGCAGCCTCCCAATAAGGTGTAGATTACCAGCAATAACACAGTAGCCTGTCAATCATAAAGAAAATTTCTAATTCATCTAACCAAGTAGCTATAGACAGTGGGAATGGCACTGGGGTAGACCCGTGGGGTCAGACTGGACCTAGGTCAGCAACCTCTGTACCTGAGTACTGGACAAGACTCCAACGATAAGAGAACATCTATTTAGAAAGTTACAGAGATGGAAGAAGTAATTCATAGAAGAGGTGTGCTGAGGAGATGAGTTATGGAGGCAAAGGAAGGGCCCTAGGAGCTTGGGAGTGAGGGAGGTAATGGTAATGCACCTAGGAAGAGGAGTGTGGGATCCCTTAACACGATTCCTCTTCAGGGTCGGTTTCTGGAGAAGGCCACACACTAAAATGAAGAGAGAATGGGAAAAAGTTAATTTGGGAAAATGAGGGCCAGGCGGGAGTCCACCTCTAGGGGGAGGACTACCTGTTGCTCTGGCCTTTTGCCATTTCCTTTATTGAGATTCTGAGACAAAGACATTCCTTAAGCAGAAAATTCCAACAGAAAATCAACAAGAATTTACATATGATTAACAAATTAAAGTTGCCTCAACTACCACTATCTTAACTAGAGGATGAGTTAATAGCTCCGACCATTCAGAGCCATCAAGGTTGGCCAGCTCCCTTTATATTTTACTACAATGTTCGGTTTTGGTTTCCAGCAGAGGGGCACTGGGGAGAGGGAAGAGACAAGGCAGAGCCTCCTGGCAGCTCCCAGAAGGGAGAGGGTGCTGAGTTTTCCTTCCTAAGGGTTTTAAGGGTGGAGATTTTAGGGGAGGTCCCAGGGGAAGATCTTAATAGAATATTTAGAAGCTTTCCACGTGTGTCCTTTCAGGGGTGTGGTCTCTCTCCACTGATTGGTTGGCTGGCACCAGGGCAGGAGGTCATTATTTAATGCAGCTGGTCCTGACGTCAGCTGTGACTGGTTTTGTTGCTTATCTGGGCCTGGAGCTGAAATGTGACTAAGGACTAGAAGAGGAAAGGTCAGGGGGTTCAAACTGCAGGACCAGCGATATGCTAAGGGTGGAAAGATCTCCCTGGGGATAAAGTCCCACCCTCCCATTGTCCTTTGCTAGGCACCCAGGTCTTTCTACCCTGGTGACCTTCTGTACCTGGCCCATTGTCCTTGCTCTGCTCCTGTCTGTCTAACTGCCTATCACAAACTTACTGCCTTTCCCCCAAAGCAAATGATGGGGAAATGGTGGAGGCAGGGCAGGAGGAGACAGGAGCTTCTTGTCTCCAGTTGGAACCCACATTTCCCAGGTTGAAATTCAAGGCTGATTGGATCCTAACACAGTCTTGTTTGTGTTTATCTTCAGGACTCTAATGCTGTCTCACTTCCAGACACAGACTGTGCAAGCCAGTTTGTTACTGGAAACCTCCTGGGTGGGCTCAGGCTGCCTGTCGTAATGTCCAATAACGAAGGCAGGGTTGTATCATGGAAGGCGTTTATTGAGAAGGCCAGCCAACCAAGAAGACAAGGGGCTTATAAACTTCCCCAAACTGTCTTACAGCAGGATTACATAGGAAAAATGGACTGGGCTGAGGCTGGGAGCACAAGGCGAACGCATGCAGTCCTGAAGGTCAGCAGACGTCAACCCTTGCTCTTGGTTGTCAGGCGATGAGAGGATGGCTTGGCTCCTGGTAGGGTCGGCCTGATCATGCCTAGCAGTTGTGCTTGCATGCTGGGTACGGTGTACATGGTCTGCAGTTGACTCATCTCAATCACTTGTTTGGGATGAGACTGAGCAGGCACACTGGCCTGAGAAATGAAACTTAGAACAAAAACTTTAACTCTCTGTTCCCATGTAAGCAACTTAACCCTCTGCTTCCATACATATGTGTATTTTAGAATTTCAGAGTAATGTGATTATTTTCCAGGTGAGCTCCGGTGCTCTATCTATCAGATTATGCGCCCCCGTACCAAATTGACGTGAGGTGGGAAGGAAGATGACTCGGGTCCGCTGCCTCCACGGGCTGTGTCTGAGCTCTGCGGGAAGAGAACCACAAACCTTTCACTGAGGGCTCTGCGGCTGAGAAACCATTAGTGGGACTTGGAACCCAGATGAGGATGAGGGAGGTTCTACTCATTCCCTCGAGGGGGTGATGCCCTTTGGCAGGGATATCGGTGCTCCCCAGGTGGCAATCCAATGCAGGGAATGACAAGATGTGTTGGAGCCCCTTTTTTCGAGAAGACATTGAGGGCTGTGGGTGAAGGAAGCATGCCAATAGCTGATTCTGACCGACTAGTTCATCAACACTAAGGGGACACCTCTTGGGGGCCTGTGATTGACCAGGGTGAGCATGTGAGGAGAGTGGAGGGTCCTGCACGGGGGTGGGGGAGGGTGATGTAGTGAAGAGCCAGGGAATTACAAGCCATTCCAACTAACGTGGCTCCATTTGCTCCCGGGATAGTGACATTTCAGGAAACATAGTTATATGCAAAATGTTCTTTATTGTCTTCCAAATGTGTCTGTTAGTTTTAAGACCTCAAGTTAAGATTAAGTGTAATATGTCGCACATCTCTTGCCTACCCGTCCCACCTCATTCCTTTTAGGGTTCTGTTCCTGGTGGTATGACATCCTTGAGCAGCACACATGCATACACCCGGTGTACCTTCCTCAGCACACGAGGTGCCAATGGGCTTCCCTCCAGGTCAACAGAACATGCCGTTTCCTTCCCTGGGCACCAGATCCAGCAATTAGTTCCTCAGGCAAAGTGAGCTAACCCTTCCCTTAGGACACACACCTGTCCAATTCCGTCCAATGGAAGGAGTTTGCCTTGGCAGCTGGTAGGAATTGTGTTTTCCACCAGAATGACCTCTTGAAAAACAGGAGAGACTCAGGGCTTTGGGTTTCTTTGTATTCTTTACTTATCAAGAAAAACTCTTTACTTATTATGCCTTTGAGACTGCCTCCAGAGTGGGGCAGAACACGGCATCGGGGGCACCTCCTCATTTCTCACAATGGAGTCAGACAAGGAGAAAGAATGTGGACAGAAGCAGATGCTAACAAGATTTAACAGAGAGCCGAAACCGGTGGCTCAGTGGATAGACCGTTGACCTGAGGCCTGAAGGATCCCAGGTTTTATTCTGGTCAAGGGCGTGTACCTTGGTTGCGGGCACATCCCTAGTGGGGGGTGTGCAGGAGGCAGCTGATCGGTGTTTCTAACTCTCTGTCCCTCTCTCTTCCTCTCGTAAAAAAAAATCAATAAAATATATTTTTTTAAAAAAATATTTAACAGAGAGCAAGGCAGCACTCCCCCCCACCCCCCACTGTCAATGTGGGACCAGGTGTTTGTGTGCACGGGGGTGCATGGTGATGGGTGTCAGGGCGTAAGCTGAAGTCCTGGACTCTTTTAAGAAAGCTGTAGGGGGAAAATGTTCTTTTTTTAAATTGTTTGAAGTATTACAAATAGTGATACACATGTCTCCTTTTTTTCTCCCCATTGACCTCCTCCTGGCCTCTCCTACCCCCCAGTACATGCCCTCACTTGCTCCCCCCCACCCCCCGGGTCCTGTATCCATTGGTTATGCTTATATGCATGCGTAGAAAAATATTGTTTTCAGTGGCTGTGATGTGAGACCAGCTTAGCGTATTGAAGCCAGTACATACCCAGTGTGACATTTCATTTATCTGTAGCCAAGTCTGGAAGTGGTAAGGTACACCAAACTTTCAGAAAAACCAGAACACCCCTTTATGTCCCATCACATATATATTACGAATTAATTAAACCTATGACTTTTTTTTTTCAGGAATCCATGCTGTGCATACAGATGGTCTCAGGGCACACAGCATTATTTCTGATACAGAAAATAACACAAAAGCCATTGTTACAGTAGTTGCAAATTTTAATAGAAAAAGAACCTTGATTTACATATAATGTTTTAATTGCTGAATAAACATGTTAATATAGACTTAATTTTATTGAGACATATTTGACATATAACATTGTGTCAGTTTAAGATGTACAGCATGTTGACTTGATACATTTCTATATTTTAATTTGATTGCAATTGTTTGACATATTTTGCAGTGGGAATAATTAAGATCTACTGTCTTAATAAGGCTGATGATTATAACGCAATGTTATTGTCTATATTCACTGCACTGTGCATTAGATTTCCAGAACTTCTTTAGTTGCAAGCTTGTACCCTTAAACACCATCTCTTCTATCCCCGCCCCCCAACCCCAGATAACCATCTTTTAAGTTCGAAGGAATTCCAAGAGACAAACATTTTGTAACAGAGAGAATAACTGATGGTCTTGTTCTGGGTCAGCTGACTCTGTTTTGGGTCACACAAACCTTGACTTTGCAGGCTATTCAGTATCTACCTAGAAAATTCCAATTGCTCCAAACATACCATTAATTTGGGTGTTTTCATAAAGAATTTCAGGGTTAAGAAAACTTTTATATCACCAAATTTACATGTCTAATGGTGGGAAACCCTTCCTTTGCTGATGTAATTTCCCAAGACCTTTCACTAACTCCTTAGCCACCAAATAATTCCCTGCTCTGCTGCTTTCCTGGGGGGGGGGGGGGGGTCATCAAAGCACTTAAAAAACAACAAAGCAAATAAATTTTCCTAATAGTGGCTAAGGAAATGAAAATTTCTCCATATGATTATAATCTACAATGGCAAACCAGCATTCCTCTCTCGTGCTCTCTTTTGCCTACCCTGTTCCTATCCCTATGGGTGAGACACTTATTTTTAAAGAAAGGTATTATTTTGGTTTCTAGCATACTGTAAAGAATCCTTTTTAAAAAAGAGTAGTTTATTTATTTATTTGGAGAAGAATGGAGAGGGAGAGAGAAACATCGACGTGAGAGTGTAACATCATTTGGCTGCCTCTTGCATGCCCCCACCAGGGATCAAGCTGGAAACCTGGACAAGTGTCCTGATGGGGAATCAAACCGGCAACTTTCAGTGCATGGGATGATACCATACTGACCAGGGCCAGAATCCTTTTTTAAAAAAAATTCTTCCCATGTTGTATTTCGATTACAGAGAGAGCAGAGTGAAGGCAAAATCTCCCCCAAGAGCCTCTTGAACTGCTGTAGTGTGATGGACTGACCCCATTACTTCTCAGAGACATGTCCCTTCTGGATTGGACTTATTCTCTGCTCTCTAGTTCTCAAACTATGGTCCCACCTCAGCTAATAGGACGATTGAACTGCTGTCATGAAGGGCAATCTAGATTAAGGACAACCTAGGGTAGTGGAGAAAGAAGGCGAGAGAGAGAGGGAGAGAGAGAGAGAGAGAGAGAACGAACATCCATCTAAAGCATTGGTCCCCAGCCTTTGGATGAACATAGAACATTCCAGTAGCGGATCTCAAATGACACCAGTGATGGAAAAGCATTGCAAAAATGGACCAGTGTTTCTGATGTCAACTGGGATATGGCCCCTTTACCAAGCCACAAGACCTTACTCCCCTCTCCCCCTTCAATACCACCACCATCAATTTAGTCCCTCTTCCGGAACTCCCTGAGCAAGTCAACCCAATCCAGTCCTGTGGGCACTCTCTCAGTCCATGCCTATGCCATACTCGTAGTTAAGTATTTTGGTACCAACTGCGAGGAGGGGTATTGCCTCCCTCCCAGGAGTAGCCCTGTGGGTACCACATCCTGATTCCTCATTCATCCGCCAAAGACGCGGAAGGGCTGAGGCGGCCGTTCACACCCCTCTCAGAGTTTTCACCTGCCGGCTGCCTCTTCCCCTCCAGCTCCTGGAGACATGCCAAGATGCGCAAAGCCTGGGGATCATCTCTATTCCTGGAAAGCCTGGCTTTGGCGATGCCTCGCAGTTTGTTCTCCATCTTCCCGGTGGCCTTCGGGTCCTGGTTTATTTTCACACCCTCCATGAAGTGGTGGATGGCCTTGCTCTCACACTTCCTCTGGAACCACTGAAAGTTGCCATATCGAAGGTGGAGCACCTGCCGTTCCACAGCCGTGAGCTCTTTGCCGAATTCCCTCTGGAAGTAATGCTCTGCATCCTCGTACTGGCCCGCCTGGAGGTGGAGGCAGGCCAGGAAGGAGCCCACGTTGACCAGAGTCCCGTTGAGCTCATCAGCTCTCTTCAGGTGCTTCACGGCGTGTCTGATCAGCTCCTGGTAGTCCTCCCTGTCCCCATACCTGCCCGGCAGGCCTCTCTTCTCGCACTCGAGGACTTTGGCCCGGTAGCACACCCCCAGGTGGCAGTGCAGGTAGGCGTTGTTCGGCGAGCATTCCACGGCCCTGGTGAGCAGCTCGATGGCGCTGTCCAGGTCGTCTTTCTTCCGATACAGCATCGCTGCCCCACGAAGCACGTCGATGGCACAGGGGGCTTTCCCCACGGCTTCTTCTACTAGCCTCTCCGCCTCCTCGTCTTCGTTCATCTTCTGCAGTTTCAGAGCCAGGAGGACCTTGATATACTGGTTGCCAGGGTTGAGCCGAATGGCCCGCCTCAGCGCCTCCACGGGATTCTTGAGCGGTGACCACTCGTCCAGCCGGAAGCTGCAGATCGCCAGCCCCGAGGTGGACTCCGGGTGCTTCGGGCGCTTGTCCAGACACTTCTCAAAGCACGCCTTCGCCCTGCCGGCGTGCTGCCTCCCGCACTTGAGCCGTGACCACCCCTCCTCGCAGTCCAGCTCGGGACTCTCCATTCGGTAGGGGCTGGCGAACTTCTTGCAGGCCTCTCGGACCTTGTCCACGTAGGCCTGGGCTTCGGAGAGCCTGCCCATGCCGTGGTAGACCCAGGCGTAGTTGCCCCAGGTGACCAGGCTTCGGAGTTCCGCTTGGCCAGGGTACTGCTGCTGGATCAGGTCTTCCGCTCGTTGCAGGCACTGCAGCGCCTCCTCGCCCTGGCCCCGCTGGTGCTTTATGAAGGCCAGCAGGTTGTACGTGGTGGCTCTGAACTCGCCGCTCTGCAGCTCGGTCTGGTGGCACACTCTGTCTTCGAAATTATCCAAGGAGTTTTCTCCCTCCAACAAGTTCCAGGTGAAGTGGCATTTCAGCCGCCGCAGGCTGCTCTCCAGGGAGTTCTCGGTGGCCTCCTCACTGTGGGGAGAAGCAGAGAGACAGACATGTGAGAGACGGCACAGACTCCCCCGGCACAAAGCAGGGAGCAAGACAAACACAGTTCTCCTCCTCTGGAAGGGCGCGGACCCCAATCAAAAAAGAACATTGCCCGGCCCGTGTGGTTCAGTGGTGGAGCATCGACCTGACCTATGAATCAGGAGGTCACAGTTCGATTCCCGGTCAGGGTACATGCCAGGTTGCGGGCTCTATCTCTCTATCCTCCTCCTCTCCTCTCTGAAATCAACAAAAATATATTTTAAAACATTTTTCTTTTTAAAATTTCTGTATTTTGGTATATGCGTTCAAGCACAGGGAAGCAGGAATCAAGCGACTGGGCCACGGGAGAATCAAGGAGAGGGCAGTGGGCGGGATCCCTAAGGCAGGCAGCTGGGCAGGTTGGCCAGCCCGCAGCTCTCTTCTTGGGGGGCCCCTGCAGGGGCGGCCAAAGCTGTGGAACTGGTTCCAGTGGAGGCTTTCTGTACTTCCTGGCAAGGCTAGTTAATTGATTTTTGTTTGTTTTGTTCCTTCCTCCTACCTAGCATTCACTTGGGGGGGAAAAATATATATATATATATATATATATATATATATATACACACACACACACACACACACACACACACACACACACATTTCAGTGAGGAAGGGAGAGGGAGAGATAGAAACATCAATAATGAGAGAGAATCATTGATCAGCTGTCTCCTGCATGCCCCATACTGGGGATCGAACCCACAACCCAGGCATGTGCCCTTGACCAGAATGGAGCAAGGATCCTTCAGTCCGAACCCCAACTTCTTAAGTTGTTGATTTCTGTTCTTAACATGTTTCGTTGAATTGATTTAGAAATGATTTTGCATTTGTTGTTTAATAATTTTCTTTCGAAATTTTACTTTCCCTCTTCTGCGGTTTGCTTTCACGACAAGGTGTTAGATGTGTGGCTACAAGAGCAGGCTCGTACAGCAGCCAGCTTCTTCCCTCCCAGGAAAGCTCTTTCACTTAGGGCACCCTTGCAACTCTTCTAGAAACATTTCTCATTCCCTTCAGAGTTGGTCCTTAGAACAAGCAAACAAATGAACAAACCCAACCAAGCAGAAACAGCAATCAGACAAATAATCCAAATAATATTAACTTCACTGATGAATAGGTTATAACTCACAAATAGCATCAAATTGTTTTTTTTTCTACATTGCATTCACACTGTAGTCTCTGAAATGTTGCTTTTTTTCTCACTTAAAATTTTTTTTTTTATGATATATATTCACTGGCCCCTTTATCAGGAGCCGATATTCTAAATAGTATGGATTGTGACATGAGCAGCCAATAGAGAATCTGGGAAGTCATGAAATGTGGCAAGTTTCGATCACTTTTGAAATATTTGCCCAGATGAAAGGTTATATTTCCTCATTTGCTCCTGTCCCCTAGCTTTCATGATGTATAGCCCCGTGCACCCTACAATTTGATTGGACCATGGCTGGGTACCCAGACTCAAGGGGAAGCTGGGAATGGAACTGAGAGGGAGCGAGGGAGCCTGAGGCGGTTTTCACACGTTAGGAAGGGAGCTGAGCATGCTGGGGGTCTGGTGGGACCACATTCTGCAGTAGGTACTGCAGAGAGGGCAGAGTCTGGGTCCGCCAAATGCTCCAGTGTCCTGTTCTGGTTCTCCTGGGGTTGCTATGGTCCTGTGTGTGGAGTCCTGGGAATCATTCCAGGACTTTAAAATCAGCATCTGCTCATTTCTGTTACTTGAAACAAATGGAAATTTAACTCCCCCAAGTAGAATAAACAAAATATAGGAGGGAAGTGGGTAGGGATTTCCTCTCAGGGAAGGAGCCTGTGCCCTTTTAAAGACCCAGGCGGTCTTAGCCAAGCGCTGGGTTGTCTGAGTCTCCTGTGTAAGCCGGGAGGGTGGGGCAGGGCCCGGGAGAGTGACTTGCTTGGCATCTGCATTACAATGGCAGCAGCCTCCCCTCAGAAAGTTGATGTCCAGTCTCACCTGCCTTCCTTCTCCGCGAGATCACAGGGGAATTTCCTTAAGCACATGAGCTTTCTTAGCTCCTTTCTCGTTTTATAACAGAAACACAGGGCATGGATACAGTTGAAATGACCTCAGACATAGTTAGTTGCGCATTTGCAAGATAGAGACAGTTAATGTACACAGGTACATACAATAATCCCTCGGAGCAGCTCTTTGAAAGGCAGCCAATTTCACTGCATAATTATGGGTTATTTTGCCCACCGGTCAATCAGAAGCTGGTCCCAATACTTGCTTCCCAGACTTATGCTTTAATGTCTCTGGAAGTCCTAGCCGTTTACAGCACAACCATTTGTTCGCCCTGCTTCTGGTCTGGAGGAAATCCACAGGGACACTGTTCGCCAGGCCAGAGCGCATGCTGCCCCCGCAGTGAGTGAGGGCAGTAGCAGCCCCACCCAGGAATACCCCGTTAGACAAGCACACCCTGGGCCCTCATCCAGCTCCATCCAATCAGAATCTGGGGTGGAGCCCAGGAATCTCCCTTTAACAAGCTTTCCAGATGATTCATATTCGAGGTCAAATACAGGAACCGCTGTCTTAGAGTACGGTGTGTGTGTGTGTGTGTGTGTGTGTGTGTGTGTGTGTGTATGCAGGAGGCAGCTGATCAACGTTTCTCTCTCATCGATGTTTCTAACTCTCTATCCCTCTCCCTTCCTCTCTGTAAAAAAATCAATAAAATATATTAAAAAAAAAAACCCACAAAACTCCTTACATACTTCTTCAAATAAAGAAACAAAAAGGAGGCTCCAGGAGCAATCACGGGACCCGCTTAGTTTAAGTGAACAACCTGGCAGATGATCCCCACCCCTCTGTGTCCTCTCCCTCCCTCCCCACTCCCTCGGGAGCTAAGCTCTCAGGAGTCAACAGGCCAGCAGCCTGGAGACGGGAGGGAGCCTGGGAGACAGGAGCCCTGGAGACGGGAGCCCGGGAGACGGCAGCCCGGAGATGGGCGGCCGGGAGACAGGAGCCTGGAGACAGGAGCCTGGAGACGGGAGCCCAGGAGACGGGAGCCCGGGAGACAGCAGCCCGGAGACGGGAGCCCGGGAGACAGCAGCCCGGAGACGGGAGCCCGGGAGACAGCAGCCCGGAGACGGGAGCCGGGGGACGGGAGCCTGGGAGACAGGAGCCTGGGAGTGGCTGCAAACAAACCGGAGCAAAACTGGCGGGCACGGCCTTTGGGGAGCGCCCTGAGGCTCTGCACTCCCCACAGGCCGGGCAGACGTCTCCAGCGCCGCGGGGCAAGCCTACCTCATGGTCGCCGCCCCTTCTCCCCGGTGCTGCCGTTTGGATGCCGGTAGGGCTGCTGTGCCTGCTCCTCAGCCGCCTTCCTCCTCCGCCTGCAGTCAGTGCTGAAGTCACCTATTTATGGGGGCATCCCCCGCGCCTTCCCCTTGCTTTCCGGAACAAGGGCTTGGGTGAAGGGAAACTGAAACTGGAAAGTGAACCAGGCAGGCTCTAAGGGGGAAAGGAAGAGCCAGAGGGGGTGGGGGGCTCCTCCTGGGCTGAGTCAGAGGGAACTGCGCTGGGTGAATTGTGTTCTACATCAGCTGACATCCAGGAAGTCCAACGGGGAGGAGACAGTTCCCAAAGCCCCTGCCCCTTTAGTAAGTAAATTCCACCTTCACATGAAGTGGGCCACCCACCCTCACCTTCCTGATCGCCCATAGGACGGGCTAGGACAGGCCGGCCACTGCCAGGAACGGTTATGTAATCTCCAATGGGAAAGGGGCGTTTTGTCAGTTTCATTCACTGCCCAATCTCCAGTTCTTACAATGCATGGCACACGGCAGGCATTCAAAAGTAGTTTGTTTTTAAAAATATTTTTATTGATATTTTACAGAGAGGAAAGGAGAGGGAGAGAGAGTGAGAAACATCGATGAGAAAGAAACATCCATCAGCTGCCTCCTGCACACTCCCTACTGGGGAGGTGCCTGCAACCAAGGTTCATGTCCTTGACCGAAATCAAACCTGGGACCCTTCAGTTATAAGGCATCGTGATGCTCTATCCACTAGGACCAAAGTAGTCTTTTTTTTTTTTTTTTTTTTTTTTTTTTTTTTAATATATACATATTTTTACTGATTTCAGAGAGGAAGGGAGATGGGGAGAGAGAAACATCAACGATGAGAGAGAATCATTGATCGGCTGCCTCCTGCATGCTCCTCACTGGGGATCAAGCTCACAACCTGGGCATGTGCTCTGACAGGGAATTGAACCGTGACCTCAAGGTTCATAGGTTGATGCTCAACCACTGAGCCACCCCAGCCGGGCAGTAGTTGTTGAATGAATGAATTCAGTATAGAACAGCAGACTCTGATGTTAGCCTCTCCTGATTAGAAAGTAGGGTGCTTTAAAATGCTGGGCCACTAACAATGATTGAACGGCTCCATGCTTTAGTTTCCTCTCCTGTGATATGGAAGTAATACACAGTGGTGTCTGAGGCTCACATGGATGGATACACAAAACACATTCTTCTAGGGGGAATAATGCCTGGCCCACAATAAGTAAATATTATGGTTTTTTGTTTGTTTTTAAAATATATTTTATTGATTATTATTATTACTTATTTTATTATTTTTTTACAGAGAAGGGAGAGGAATAGAGTTAGAAACATCGATCAGCTGCCTCCTGCACGCCCCCTATTGGGGATGTGCCCACAATCAAGGTACATGCTCTTGGCTGGAATCGAACCTGGCAGCCTTCAGTCTGCAGGCTGATACCCTATCCACTGAGCCAAACTGGTCAGGATAGTAAACGTTAGTTTTTATTCTAATTAATAACTCAGCACATTAACCAAAGAGACCAGAATGGAAACTTGCGATGTTTGCTTTTTTCAGAGCTTTCGCCCCTCTGACATCTCATGACCCATCATTGTCACTGACTCACGGCAGACAGTTCCTGACCTCTCTACACATCACTGGCTTTCCTGAGCTCCACAACCTTGTAAGCCCCGTGGGTCACCTTGGTATTCTGCACCCCCACATCGCAATGGGCAGCCGCAGTGGTGTGTCATGATAGAGGAAGCGTACGTTCTTTGCTCTTTCCTTAGTCATACCCTTAATCCCAAAGGGATTTCCCTGTACATAGACCCAAGGAGGGAAAGCGAATAGCACCGGCTTCTTGGAGGCTGGGAACTTACACAGACCGTGGGAAATACATGCGCTCCCGTCAGACTGAGGCTGACCAGCCAGGTGGTTGGGTCTGCAGGAAGCGTGATTTATTGTGCATTTTTCTGCCCAAGACCGGCAGACAATCCTCTTCCTTTTTTTTCTTTTCTTTTTTTCTACATGGCTAAGCTCATCCCCATTGGAAATCAGTACTTTTAGGTCTCACTTCTATTTACAAATTCGTTTTCGTACTTATAGAAACGTATTGTTAAATGTGCAAAAAGTGCCGGAATAGGAAACCAGGAACATTGTGGCTTTTGTATTATTATTATTATTATTATTATTATTATTATTATTGGAATTGGTACTCAGGAAGCTGTTAGATGGATATGTTTCAATCCTATTCCTGAAGGTGCTGGGTGGGGAGACGCTCAGAGAAAGCACGTGGTCCATGTGTTGCGAAGCGCCGAGATGGACGGATTCACCTTTCAGGAGTCTGCATGGCCAGAGCCCGTGTGTGATCTGCCTCAGCAGGGCTGAGTCACCTGCTCTGGCTGCCGGGCCGGAGTGAGAGTACGTGGTGTGACTGCAAAATAGAAACTGGAGAGGAAAACCAACTCTCTCCTGGCAATGGTTTCTATTTTGAGAAAAACGAAACAGTGAGAGTTCCTATTACTCTGCTTATTACAAATATTTCTGTCTGTCTTTGCATAGACCCAAGGCTGCCCCTGTCTCCACCTGGACTAAGGGAGAGACCTAGCTTGCTGTTCCTAGAATGAGCAAAGGCCCCCTTGAGCAGCTGCATCAGCTACAAAGTGGTCCTGTAATTTCTCCCCTCTCACGCTCCTTCATTAGCCCCAGAGTACTGCATAATCTCGTATTATCTCTAAATCCAACCCACCTCATATTCAACTTTCTTGAATTACTCAACTTGAGTTTCACATCAGTTTCCTGCCAGGAACCTGACATACAGAAAAAAGAGAGGAAACCTCAAAAACCAAAACCCAGCCCTAGCTGGTTTGCCAGAGTGTTGGCCTGTGGACTGAAAGATCCCTGGTTTCCTGGTTTGATTCCAGTCAAGGGCACATGCCTGGGTTGCTGGCTCAATCCCCAGTAGGAGCGTGCAAGAGGCAGGGAATCGATGGTTCTCTCTCATCATTGATCTCTCTCTCTCTCTCTCTCTCTCTCTCTCTCTCTCTCTCTTTCCCTTCCTCTGTGAAACCTATAAAAAATATTTAAAAAAAAAATCAAAACCCAGGGTCTGAGGACTAATAGGCAGATGAAATTAGGGTATTCTCTTTGTAAACTGTTTAGACTTTCTGAGATTAGATTTCTCCTATCTTTTGTGAGAATTGAATGAAACAACACCTGAAAAGTGCCTCTGACATTTCCTGGTACATAGGAAGCATCTGAAAATGTGATTTTATCAGTATTATCATTATGTGGAGCAGCAGCTTAAACATTAATCAGGTGAGGAATCATCTCATTAAGTATGCAGGGCAGCCCTAGGAGGCAGGTGGTATCCCATTTACAGACGAGAAATTGAGAGACAGAGTCTCTTACACAATAAATTCAGTGCCATATCAGTTAACCCTGTGTGTGTGTGTGTGTGTATGTATGTGTATGTGTGTGTGTGTGTGTGTGTGTGTGTATGTATGTGACTGCTCTCCCTGATCTCTTAACCACACCTATTATTTTGTGGTTAGTCAGAAACATTAATCTAGATGTTGCAGTGAAGGTATTTTGCAAATGTGATGAAATGTCAGAATCAGTTCACTTTAAGTAGGAGATCCTCCTACATAACCTGGGTGGGCCTGATTTAATCAGTTGAAAGGCTTTAGGACAGAGCTGAGGCTTCCCGGATGAAGAGCTGCTACCTGTGGACGGCAGCAGCTGCCCACATCCCAGAGTCCCAGCCTGTCTTTCTTAACGGTTTGTCCGATGGATTTGGACTTGCCTAACCAGCCCTCACAATCAAATAGGCCCGTGGTTAGCAAACTGCGGCTCGCGAGCCATTTATAGCTCTTTGGCCCCTTGAGTGTGGCTCTTCCACAAAATACTATGGCCTGGGTGAGTCTGTTTTGAAGAAGTAGAGTTAGAAGAAGTTTAAGTTTAAAAAATGTGGCTCTCAAAAGAAATTTCAATCGTTGTACTGTTGATATTTGGCTCTGTTGACTAATGAGTTTGCTGATGTTGAAAGGCCAATTCCTTACATTAAATCTCTTACTATATACCTCTTCTTGCTTCTGCTTCTTTGGTTGAATCCTGACACAGAGGTTAATGAACAAAGGATGTTCATTGCAGGATTAGTTACAACTGCTTAAAAGTATAAACGAACTAAATGATGGTTCATAAAAAATACTTAAAGGCAATATGGGACTATCAATTGAACATATGAGTTTGTTTTAGCTTTCTCCTCAAATCAAATCCTTCAGGAGAAGAGAATAGCAGAGAACACAAAGGCAACAAAATCTTGGAAACTCTGAAAGAGCTAGACAAGAGGTCATTTCCTCATGCTGTACTAAACTTGAGAAAACTACATCTGTCAGCAGCGGGGGTAGTCCAAGAATCAACCCAATTTATATTGCAGAATACACCAAAGGCTCAGGAATTAATGGCATGAATCAGCCTATGAGGACCAATATCTGAATAGTAAGAGTTCTACTGAGGAAAAAAAAAAAAAGAAAAAATATTTATGAAAAAGCCAATGAAAATATCCAATATAGTTTCCCTGATTGAAAGCTATAAGTTTCCAAGTGGGAAAAAATAAACCTTTACAAAGTAAGCTTTTTAGAACACCAATGACAAAGAGAATTCTAAATGTTCTGGAAGCCAGGGGCAAGTGGGGGGGATTTATAAAATAAAATCCAAATGTTTTTGGACTCAGCAACACTAGTAAAAGCTAGAAGACAAAGGAGAAATGTCATCCAAAGAGTGCGGGCAAGTGATTTCTAACTTAGAATTCTAAATATAGCCAAACAATGGGAGGAAAAAATAAAGACACTTTTATATATAAAAGTGAACTACTTGTTTTATATGCACAGTTCCTCAGGAAGCTGGGAGGAGACATCCCACCAAAAGTAGGAGTAAACCCAGGGAAATACAGAAATGGGATTTAGGAAGCACAGGATATAGTGCAAGGGGAGGCCCAGGACCAGAGGGAGGTGAAGGGAAACCCTAAATGAGGGAGAAGGGAAAACCTTGCCACAGGTCTCAAGAGCAACAGTGTAATTAGGAGCCTGTCACATGTCCTATGAAATGTGAAAATGTCAGCTTACCTAGTGTTTGAAAATGGGGAGAGGAGATCTATTCAACTGGA